GTCCTTCAGCACTCCCCCAGCCTAACTCACCTGAGGAGATAATGAGGGGACACGCCGAAGCAGGTGTGGGAAAGAAGGCGTGTTACCTGTATACGCTCCAAACATATGGTCCATGTTTATTCAGCTACTTTTACGAGACAACGTGACCTCAGGACAAACAGAGGTCTTCCTTTGTGAGTGGACTGAACTGGGACAACAACCTCCACCTCTGGGAACACCAGCGTTATATTACATTAAAAAACCTCATGACTTTGTTCATTTGTCTAAAACAGACACATTGCCCAAGGTTGTTGGAGATTGGGCACTTGGTAACTGTTTGGGAAAAACAAGTCCAACAGGATGGATGAGAAAAAGAGGCAGTCCAGCTTTGGGAATGGTGAGGTTAATTACAAAATTAATACCTATAACAATCTATTATTACTAATTATCTTTCTGCCGTTATGCTCCAAAGTGTTCCACCAATAAGGGGCAAAGGTGAAGTGGTAAAGCATGCTGGTGTAAACCTTGTCTACACTAAGGCTGCCTGAAGGACTAATTACCCACTTAGGGACAGGTATCTTCCAAAATGTACAGATACCTTAGTTTCAATATTAATTCCTGAATGAAACTTTTATTGAAACTTTCCTTTAAATAACAAACCAATAAGTAGGTGAGGCTTAAACTAGAAATTAGCGTGAAGTAGGAATGGCCAATATGGAAAACAATAATAACAGTAATAATTAAAGGCATTTTCATGATAAACTGTATGCATCACAGTATTTTACGAAAGGCCAAAAAAAGTACTTGTCCCTTTTTTAAAGAACGCTATTGAAAACGCTGGATACAGTGATGTCATTCAGAGTTTCACATACTGATCTGCACCAAATCCAATTAAACAGGTCTAATTAAGCTCTCTTTGTAATAAAAACATGCAGTCGGTCAGTGTCCTTTAAGTACTGACCAGAGATGAGGACTCTAGTCAGCAACTCTGATTCGATATACATGTTGACTGACTCTCTGCTTGACTTGACTCAACTCAAGACTCTGAAATTTTAACCATTAATTAATGTATTAATGTAATTAATATAACCTTTATAACCATATATAACCGTTTATAACCATACGTGTGTGACTTTGCCTGTCAATTTGACTTTACTCAGACTTGAACCCCAGAGTCTTGAGACTCGACTCAACTCAAACACTAGAGACTTGGTTTGGACTGCACTGACTCAAGATTTGACTTAGTTGGACTCGAGATCCAACTCGGACTCGAACACCAGAGATTCTAGACTTCACTCTGACTTGGACAACAGAGTCTCTAGACTTGACTCAGACTTAAACACCAGAGACTCAAGATTTAACTCAGACTCTGACACCAGAGACTCTGGATTCAACTTGGACTTGGACACCAAAGACTCGAGATTCGACTCAGACTCAAACACCAGAGACTCTGGATTCAACTTGGACTTGGACACCAGAGACTCGAGATTCGACTCAGACACAAACACCTGAGACTCCAGATTCAACTTGGATTTGGACACCAGGGACTCGAGATTCGACTCAGACTCAAACACAAGAGACTACGGATTTAACTTGGACTTGGACACCAGAGACTTGAGATTTGACTCAGACTTGGACACCAGAGACTCAAGACTTGACTCAGACTTGAACACCAGAGACTCAAGACTCGACTCAGACTCGAACAACAGAGACTCGAGACTTGAACACCAGAGATTTGAGATTCATCTTGGACTTAGACACCAGAGACTCAAGATTCAACTCGGACTTGGACACCAGAGACTCAAGGCTCGACTTGAACACCCAAGGCTCAAGATTCAACTTGGACTTGAACATCAGATTCTTGTGATTCAACTCAGACTTGGACACCCAAGACTCAAGATTCCATTTGGACTTGGACATCCGAGACTTGAGATAAGACTCGGACACCAGAGACTTGGCCTAAGATTTGACTCAGACTTGGAGATCAGAGACTTGAGATTCCACTTGGCCTTGTCTGAGCTGTGATTGGTCAGGATGAGGACAAGAAAATGGCAATGACTAACAAACAATATATCGTGCAGCCTCGGAAATCCTTTTTCAGAAGAATTTGAAGAAAGTGGAACTCACACTTGTGCCTAGATGTGTGAAGGCCAAACCAAACTGCTCTTCATGCCATGATTAGGCTCATCACTGGCTCAGCCTTCTGGACACATCTGCTGACACAATAAGGTCAGAGACAGAGTCCTGGCATCTAATCTGACTTGTGGAGCTCATTAGAGGCCGTTTTTCATATTAATGAAAAGATCGGGGCTCCGAACAAAGCTGTCCCGATGTCCCGGTTCGGCTGTGAATGGGCCATGGCAACCCGACACCGCCAATCAATTTTCTCAACTTAAAGTGGAGGGCGGCTGATTAAATTATGCATGCAGAGGGTTTTTATCCGCCCTGGACGCTGAGAAATTGGATCCAGAAAAAGATTACGCCTCCTACCAAATAATGGCTGGCACTTGACAGCTCTGTCTGACAGATATCCTATCACCTTCTCCAGATCAATTCCACACTTGTAATCAGGAGTGGAAAAATCCCACCAGTAGAAGGGAATCAGTCACAGAGCTCAGTTCTGATCCAGAGAACAACTGAACAGATTAAAAGAGGCGGGTTTTGGGTTTTGTCAGAAGTGAGAAAGCTAATTCATGAATCTAGGGGTGGACGATATGAACTCTGAATGTTATCCACAGAATAGCGATATCACGATAAACCAAAAAAGTGTTAAAAATAATCATAACCAAACCAAAAGCAATAATATGCAAAAGTTTGAGAATACTTGGTCAAATGAGATGTTTTACTGATTTTCTAAGTGAAAATAACACATCCTATACAGAGAACACACTTAAATATAGCATTTTCTACACATTTTAGTGCACACTTTCTATTTTGAGTTTGAAATATTGGAAAAAAACATAATATAAAATGTGCCATAACTTTTACACCTGCCACATTTTATGATTTATTATTATTTGTACACCTTTCTTTACCCAGTATGTTAAATTTAGCAAATAAACAATAACTATACATCAAAAATATATGAATAAATAAATAATGTGCCCATATAATTCTAATAATGATTCTAATCATGCTAATATTCTATAGATTTCAAACAATTTTGAGAAACAGTAGAAATTATAAAAATAAACTGAGCTATAAATGATTCCATATTAACTGAGAAAGCTGTATATCGTCTTTTACCTTCCCATGCCTTAAGGAGCAGTGACCACACGTTGTGTCCAGAAATGACTATAAATACATCGTTAGTTCATTATTAAACAACATTTCACTGTTTTTTGTTTGTTTTTTGCTATGTAATAAATTCTTGTTGTTACCAAAAATTCAACTGTGAATATCGGTTTAGATTGTGTTGTCTAGTTTATAATATTTCAAGCTACAACGTATAAGCTATTATTACTGAATCGCAATTATTAATACGACCTGATTCCAAACATTTGAACGACAAATATTACATAGATGTTAGACAGCATATAGAACCTTTTTCCTGAATTTATAAGAATTCTTAATTCGTGTCTATACTGGGTTTGGGGGCGGGGTCGTCTGTTGGTCAGTGTTCTAGATGTAGTAAAATCCATTTGATGACATCATTATTAACATTTCTAACAGTAAACCTCCCACCTCTACCTGAGGCCGAAGCTAAAAGACCCTCTATATATGTTATGTCAGGGGTCTGAGATCAAATAAGGTCAATCATCCTCATCATTGCGTTTCGTTATTCAACAGAAAACGGGGAAACTGCAAAGCTCAGTCACCTGACCTGTATGGCAAAGAGTGGACACAGCTAGACCACTTAATAATGGACACAGCAGACAGTCAGAGAGTGAGAGCAAAGAAACTCTTAACCACATTATTGCACCAATTCTGTGAAGCAGGGTTAGGCCACGTTCTATATTTAAAGGAGAAATATGTAGATTTTTCAGAATTTCTGATTAATTAAATGGTTAAGATGTAAACAGAGTCACTTAGAGTGGTTTGGTGTGAAACGCTCTGTTCTAGAGAAACTTACAGAGTCAGAATTGTTCACAGTGGTGGTGATAGGAACCAGACGTCCACCTCTAAAAGCTCCCTCACAGACAGTTATTACATGAAATGGTTATGAATTCACTGTCTGATGTCTGAGACACTGTTTTAGGATAATTCAGAGAATGTTTTGGCCTAAAACATTTTGTAAATCCATTCATGGTGGAGGGACACATGCAGGGTGTCGTGAGGCAAAGTAGTCCCCCCAAAAAACTATTTTTTCAGATTTATCACTATTTTCCCATCATCAACATTACATATAAACTCAGAAGACTCGTGTAGGTTCACTGGAGGTTTTGGATAGTAAATAAAAGGTCTATATCTGTGTTGTAGTCATGGTGACCCCTGGTTCCTATCACCACCACTGTAAAGACATCTGAGTCTCTACAATCAACCATTTCACACCAAACCACTCTGAATGACTCTGTTTGTGATGTTTGCATTTCAATCACAGAATTATTCAGAAATTTTGGACAGTTGGTGGAATTCCCCTTTAAATAAAACTACTCGAGGGTGGGTTTAAGCTGCTCTGCCCACCTCAGACAGACACTCAGCTGTGGTAAGTCACAGGAAATCATCTTATTAGACCACTGAGAGTCATTTGTACAAACCAGTGTGGAAAGTTTTCACAGGCAGAGTTCAGTGAACTTTAGCCAATTCTGACTAAGCAAAAACCAGCGTCTTATTCGAACTGTCCGTTCCACCTTAAATAGTGCAGCAGTTTCATTCAGGTGCCTCAGCGCCAGCGCGTGACCGATACCCTATTTAAGGTGGACCGGAAAGTTCGACTTCGAAGAGTCCAAATCTGTCAGGTTTAGTGAAGTAAGCTAACTGTGGGTAAAGTAAAGCCTCTCAAACTCGGAAACCGAGCTTTTCTCACTCCGTCCTCATCCTGTTTTCCTCTTTCAGCGGCCGAAGACTCGACCGAAACTCACCGAAGAAAGGCGGCAGGTGAGAAACGGCCTCCAGGAACGGCCTCGTCTCCACCTGCTTATCGGCCGGCAGCGGCTTGAACTGGTGCTCCATCAGAAGAGCCATGGCTGCTGCGGAGGGGCGGAAGCGAAAGTGCGGCTCCTCTAACCGACAGACAGAAACAGAGAGGCGGGGGAGGACAGCGGAGAGCAGCGCTCCTCAGATCCAGCACTTCAGACTGAAACCTCCGCCAGCCGAGGAGCCGGACTCAGAGTACGAGGCCACGCCCGGTCGTGCCCATAGCCCCGCCCACCGCAACAATAAGACCGCCCACGCTACACGCTAATGGACCAATCGGATTAAAGGAGTGGGAGGAAAGTTAGTTTTGACAAATATTACTCAACAAACACATTTCAAGACAAATTTACTTCTGTCATAAACGCAGTTTTGTCTCCATTACTTAGTAAAGCCTTTATAACCTAATGTATTTAGTCTTACATTACTTAGTAAAGCTTTTATAACCAAACTTAGTGTTCTCTTACATTACTTTGTAAAGCCTTTATAATCAAATTTGTTTATTCTTACATTTCTTAGTAAATCCTTTATAGCTAAACTTAGTTTTGTTTTACATTACTTTGTAAAGCCTTTATAGCCAAACTTAGTTTAGTCTTACATTACTTAGTAAAACCTTAATAGCCAAACACATTTATTCTTACATTACTTAGTAAAGCCTTAATAGCCAAACATATTTATTCTTACATTACTTAGTAAAGTCTTAATAGTCAGACTTAGTTTTATCTACATTACTTAATAAAGTCGTTATAGCCAAACATAATTTAGTTTTACATTACTTAGTAAAGCCTTTATAGCCAAACTTAGTATTGTCTACATTACTTCGTAAAGCCTTTGTAGCCAAAATTAGTTCAGTATTAGTTTTTGATCTTAGTAACGTTCTTCTTATTGTCCTCCATTAAGAGACAATCATTAAATTAAGGAAACATTCCTAATGTTTGATCGGGTAAACATATCTAATTATAGTTTAAAGCTCTGGTTGTTTATGTTTGTTGTGTCATTCTTTAAAAGCCTTCTGCACAACACAAATTTAGTCATGCTAATGTTTAATAAGCCTGGGACTCAGACAACATCACTCAAGTAGGCTCAGCTTAGTGCATTTAATATCTAAACTTACACATCCAGCCTCTCTGAATGGCTTTATTTACATGAAAACGATTTAATTTTGGGATATTTCTACAAAAAGGTGTGATTCTCCTTTAAAGCCGTCACATGACGGGAAACTGAAATGAAAACGCCCAGTCTGGCCGGTTTGACCCTCTTGACGCGCCGTAGCGTAACCAGGCTATTCAGAGGTAACCAGGAGAAAAGCTGCTGTTTGTGTTTGGCGGTTGATGCTAATGCTAACCGGCTAACAGCGCCACACCGTTAACTTCAGGATTAAAACTTCACTCATTTAACTTCGTTAACTAAAGACTGGAGAGCGGTTCGGTCTTTAGTCTGAGGGGCGAGTTCGGCTCGGTGAGTTAAACGTTATCGGAGTGGAAAAATAAATCCCGCCTCTTACTCGAATTTTCGGGTCCACCTTAAATGTGTCTCAGTTCCGTTGAGTAAATGCACACTGTACGCTAACTGTGCACAGTGGAGTCGCTGCACCACTTAAGGTGGAACGGACAATTCGAATAAGAAGCTACCTTCAGCTTCTTCGAGCGAGCGGAGGTCAGTAATACATTAAAGATAAGATGTAATATATGATTTATGTAATAATGATCATGATAATAATAATAATATAACTGTTATATTTTGTGTTGGTTTTTGCAGTCCAGAGGAGGAAAACTAACCTAGCTAGTTAACGAGCAGCTGACATTCAGTTACATGATTAAAGATATAACGTTACTAATTATTTTACAATTACAACAAATATTTCAGTTTTAACAGGAAAAAATGTAAAGAACAAATAAAATAATTAATAGGTGACTATTGGTTTATTTAAAAGATTTCATCTGAGATCATAATATTTAAAATTAACTGATAAAAATAAATGTAAAGCTGTGTTAAACAGCATAGAAAATAGCAATTAACAGAATAATATACAAATGGAAATTATATTTTATTTTATGATATGACTCATTTGGTTGAGATTATGTTCATTTCAGCACTTTTTATTAATATATAAAAGTATTATAGATGATTTCAAACTTTATTGTTTATCTATTCAAACTTTTATTATTTTATATGTTTTAATTAAATGTAACTAAATGTAATAGATACTTTTGTTTCTAATTACAATTAATACTTTTTTACCATTAAGAATTACTCCTTTTTTTTATTTTATTTTGCTGGAACGTTTGTCCGTTTCCAACTCGTTTAGAAAATACAAACATCATGAAAATGTTGTTAAATATTGCAACACTGCATTTTTGTTATATCGCCCACCCTCAGGCAGGTTTTCTGTCCAGGACCTGAGTTTGGAACCACTGGACTCTCCAACAGAGCGATGGCTTTGCCGACTCTCTCGGCTCACTGGCCGAGCCGGATGCGGGCTTTGGAGCATCAGATGGTGCGTCAGCGAGAGCAGGAGGCGCGCTGGAGGCAGCAGTGGGAGCTCAACTCGCAGTATTTTAAAGAGCAGAGCGTCCGCAGCAGCAAACAGGCGCACTGGAGCTCCAGAGAGTCGTACCAGCGGAGGTGGGAGATCTCTTTTACTTCAACAACAAATCAGCTTTTCACAGTATTTCCCCCTCTTAGCCCAAATGTAGTGGATCAGTCCAGACGTGTTGGTGTCTGACGTTTGCTCTTTGTCTTCTCTCCCATCTCCAGCATGTCTGCGTTCCACCACGAGCAGATGAAGGAGAAGAAGAAGCGGAGTCTGGAGGAGCGAAGGGAGCGGCTGAGGAAGATGCTGCAGGAGGAGAGGGACCAGCTGGAGGCTGAGCTGAGGGCCAGCGTGCCGGACAGGAGAGCCACGTCCAGGCAGCAGCTGGAGAGGACGGAGGAGCTGCGATCGGCCCGAGAGGAGCGCAGGAAGAAGGTGAAACACTTACTGAAACTTTAAGCAGTGTGTTTGTCAGAGACTAGGGTACATAGATTAGGGTATGACTGACATCATTTTATGGACCTAGAATTGTCTGATATCAGTCAATTTTAATTTAATATGACCATAAATTGAACAAACTCTGACGGTTATAGTTAAACTGTAGGAATGATGTTGGCAGTAAACAGTGGGAATAGGCATTAACCCATTTTAGCTATTGGAATACATGTATTTTGCCATCAGTTTGTTTACATCTACTAGTTCTCATATTAAAAAAGGGAGTGTAAATATGTTTGATTGACCACACCCATTCCATATTATCCAATACACTTTTATCTATTTCACCATGATAAACAAGAAGAGCATCGTGTCTGTGGCTGTTGAACGAAACAGAGAGTAACCTACTGTATGTGTTTTGTGTTTGTAATTGCTGAAAAAACATTAACAAACCTTGTTGCACAAACTGGACTTCTTCCAGCACTGATGTGGTTAACTTTTGTTCTCGTCCTGTTGACCCTGCAGGTTGCACAGGAGCTCCTGAAGGAGCACTGGAAGAAGAACAAACCAGATCTGCGTAAGGTGAGGCACAGAAAACCTGAAAGAGTCTATGTCATGGTGTCATAACATGATTATAAGTGTGCATCATAAGAAGCGTGAGACTATAACACAATTACAAATGATGCCATAACATGATAATAAGTGTGCATAATAAAAAGTGTCCTGGCTGTGAGATGTGTCCTCCTGTTCACAGGTGGAGTCGGAGCTGCATAAGGATCACGTGGTGAGCCAGTGGCAGGTGCAGCAGCAGCAGAAAAGACAGGTAATCACATTTGAACCATTCAATAATGTCGGTATAGTGTACTGTATAGACTATCAACAAAAAGACTTTCATTGTGAAATTTATGCTGATTTTTTACGGTGATCATAAAGACATTCAAGGTGCTTTTAGTATTTCTATATATGATATCATAATATATTTATATATATGATTTTTTACAATTATATGGTCATTGAGCCGAGTGATATGGCGAAAAATCTTAGCATAATATATTTTTCCATCATTTAAAATTGCTAAATGTTAATAGATATATATATTAGCTAGTTTCCTAATGCATACTAATGCCAAACCGAATCCTAAGTCTGAACGGGTGTTATGAGCTAACATAATGGTGAATGGTGTAACATCATTATTTATTTATTTAACATAAAATAAGTATAAAGTGTCAATGCAGATTGTAAAACAAAAGTCTGCTTTGGAGGAGAAGGGTCTGGCTGCAGACCCACGTTACTGCATTTTCAGCCCCACAGTCTTAGCTCTAGATATGATGTCACATAAAGGTCAAGAGGCATGCCATTTGTAACACGGAGAGCACGGGAGACATGCGTACAGATGTCTGTTACTGCATAATGTTTGAAAAACCCTCAGATACTGTCATTACAGAGTAATTTGGCGATGTTTATTACAGTCGCTTACATAGTACATTTTGTCATAGACAGTTTAAATTTGAAAAAGCTAACAGAAAATGCTATTTAACCCCCAGGTAGTCCAACACAGGAGAATGTTTAATCCATATATGCGTCGATTTTATTATATATTTTTTAATTTCCTTAGCTATTCTTATTCCTTATTATTGTACTTCGTGTTTGGCCCAAAAATGTTACTTTTACATCGGTTGTAAATATTATAATGAGAAAATAATGTTTTGTCCATCCCATCATATTTCAACAAATCCACATTACCATTTTCATTATCACCTTAAACAAACACGCAAGTTTTATTTAATTTATTTTTTCTTTACAGATTCAATCTGAAGAACCATTTCACCATTTTATGCATGAAATGGTTCTATGTAGAACTCATAGTACTAAAAAGTTACTAAAGAACCCTTGAAGAACCTTTATCCATCCTTTTTAAGAGTATATGGGTTCAAACACCAGTGAAATATGCCAACTGATATATACCAGCAAGCTAATAAACACCCATTTCACAACCTTAGTATTCTCTTTATCTGTCACAGAAACCACTTGAACGCGCACGATAAACCTTGGTGCTAAAAAAACAAAAACAAAAACACCACGTTGAAATTTTCTCGTAGGGACAGGAAAGTATAACTACGATTCCAAAATGAACCACTGGAGGTGTACTTGTAGGGGGCTGATAATGCAGGTCTGAAAGTGAGGGTCTGCAGCTGGATACTACTGCTTTGGAGGGCTTTTTTAACTGTACATAATGTCATAGTGAAGTTTCTTAACTGTAGAAGGCTCACAGTGCCACCTAGTGTGCTGTAGTAGCAACTGTTCAAGTTTGCTGCTATTTGATCTAAACATCATTAGATCAAAAATACCTCAAATAAATACATAAATAATTTTTATTATCACATGGTTAACAGTTATGGTCATACGTTTAAACGTTTCTGTAATGGTGGTGATGTGAATGTTGCTGAACTGACCCTTTTCACGCTGAGGTGGAAGAGCAGGACGCTGAGGAGCAGCAGCGTTTTGAGAACGAGTATGAGAGGAGCAGACGGGAGGCGCTGGAGAGGATGAGGGAGGCGGAGGAGAGGAGGAAAGAGGAGGAGAGGGAGAGGGCGGAGCAGCTCCGGAGACAGATGGAGGAGTTACGGCTGAGGGAGGAGGAGGTGAGGAACGTTCTGGAGCCAGAGATCCATGGAGTAGCAGGGAATGACCAGCATAGCATAGTATAGAGGTTTAACCTATGAGACTGTGAGACTAGTCTTAAACCTAGACTCCTTAAATTCCAGGCTTATTATTTGCTCATTAATTATACGTCTTGTTACCTGGAAAGAACAATAAATTACTACTAAATTATAATATAAGGGCCTCTTAGTTTCATATTAAGTACTGTAAATTATTCAGTATTTACAGTATTAGTTCTTATTTGTGGGGTAACTGTGATGCATGTATGTGTGTTTACCTCTGTACATATAAAGTGTGCGTATGTGTGTTTCAGAGTCGGCGGCTGCAGAAAGAGGAGGAGGCTCTGCTGTCTCAGCGCTGGGAGGTGGAGCGGCTGGAGGATGAGAGGAAGAGGGCGGAGGAGAGCCGGAAAAAGGCAGAATTCGGGTGAGAGTTTAACACAGAGTCGGAATCCCTAAGAGCTCCTCATATGGGTTCCTTTCATGAGTAGGAAGGTCATACAGGTCTGAGTGGACGTGAGCTTCTCTGTTTGTCTCCTGCAGGCACTTCCTGAGCCGTCAGTACCGGGCGCAGCTGAAGAGGCGAGCGCAGGAGGTCCAGGAGGAGCTGGTGGGTTACTGAGAGTGGATATGAACAAGGTGGACCTTTAACCTCTGGCCTTTCAGTCTGAGTGCCTCTGAACTGCCTCAGTGTTGCGTGTTTACCTTTTTTATTTAAAGACTTAAAGCGGCTACAGCACCGGAAATAAACCACGCTGTTTTGCGCATGAGCAGATTTGACTGACCAGTTTATTGACTGGTATCTATTGGGCCATAAACACCTTAACAACTATGAATAAGTACTTATAGCACCGAAATAAAAGTGCAGCAGTGAACTGTTATGTTTGATGAATGGGTCATTCTCACACAATGTCCCTAAATATTTGGGTGTAATAAGCAGTTTGCAGATAAACAATATTCATATCATTTAGATGCAAGAAATATGATATTTACATACTATTTTATTTCAAGAACATGAGAAAAGTTCAGTTTTCCATGACTGCAACTTTAAGTACACTATCTGACCCCATCTCTTCTAATCCAGGAGCTTGTATGAAAATCTACAATGAGGATTTGAAATTTGATTTGAGTTTTAGTCAGTAAATTATTCAACTGAACAGTGTGTGAATGTCATACTCTGTGAATCACCTAACCGACTGCACTGCCTCTTATGTCCACCAGGAGGCAGACCGGAGGATCCTGGAGGCTCTGCTGGAGGGGGAGGATGAGGAGCAGAGGCTGGCGAGCGCACGGAGGGAGAGAGCCGTGGCCGACGCTGCCTGGATGAAGAAAGTTCTGGAAGAGCAACTGCAGCTGGAGAGGGAGAGAGAGGCTGAGTTCGACCTGCTGCACCGGTGAGATGATGAGGAGGCGAAACATCCTGTGACTAATGACGTGTTTGGATGGTCCTTATAAACTTGTGAATGTCTTGAATTTACTACAGGGAGCTTTCGCTGAGTCATAAATGCAAGTGGTTAGCATTGGTCCATCCCAGCAGATTAAACTGATGTTCACACATCACGTTTCCCCCATTAGCCTGAATGTGAGTGATTAACAAAGGCATGTTTAGTGTCTTAGATTTTACAGTAGCCTTATAGGAGGCTTATAAATAAACAGGGCAAATTACATACAAAACAACCTTTTCTTTCAGTTTTTCTATTTTGTTTTTTGTCCGAGTGTGTCCAGAATGTTGGTAAAGAATTTTCATTACTATTTGATTTGTTATGTGTCATGTTATTGAATCTATAGTGCAGCACTATATCTCTCAGAATTTACAATATTGTGTCCTTTCTGTAACTGAACACTGGAGAAAAAAACAATCTCTCACAAATAGACTTTAATGGAATTGCATGTTGCTCCTCTTTTATTAAGAGATTTGCATATAGAGTGTCTTAATGTTAATCTATTAAAGCTAATCTTGTTGCCACTCTGAGTCAGAAAGTTTATGAAAAAAGGCCAACAGACCTTGTTAATCTAAATTCAGAAAGTGATAAAATTAACTTCATGTTTGTGTGTTCTCAGAGAGGAGGCCCAGAGAGTGTGGGATAAGAGAGAAGCAGAGTGGGAGAAGGAGAGGAGAGCCAGAGAGAGACTCATGCAGGAGGTAAACTCTTCACTACATTCTTTATGTGCGGGTGAACATGTGTACAGTATGGGCCTGCAGGTTCTACTGTTTCATTTGTAAAGCTCTATAATGTTCATATGATCCACACAGTCATTCTGACAGACTGTAATAAACTACAGGAAGTGTAGGGGGCGATATGGCTTGTTTTTGGTGCAGTCAAAGCGATTAGTCAATTCATGAATAACAGTCTGTAGGTTAATCGACTGTAGAAATCTTCAGCTGCAGCCCCTGTACAGTATGTCACTATGTGTGTGTTGCAGGTGTTGTGGGTGCGTCAGCAGCAGCTGGACGAGCAAATGCAGGAGAAGCGGAGGGAGCTGGAGGAGTCTGAGCAGAGGAAGGCGGCGCTCCAGAGGATGCTGGAGGAGCAGGAGGAGGAGCAGAGGCAGGAGAGAGAGGAGCAGGAGCAGCTCCGCACAGCGCGCATGCAGGACATCAACACACAGGTATGAATGAACAGCGTTTTTGAAAATTAGCGCTGTCGTTCACCTGCAGTGTACAGATTTCTCCCCAGTTTAGCTGTGTCCAGTCTCGCCCCTTAGCTAGGACTCCTGCCATCACACTTGCTACCAAGCTGGGAAGGTGAAGGCCAGCACAAAGCACCGCTGTTACTCAACGTCTTTGGACAGCTCAGCATGCTTGGAGAAGAATCCTTACTGCTAATTTTGTTACATCAACTAACAACTGTCCATGTTTGTGAGCATTGTGCTGAGTGATGGGGGGAGGGAGGACCATCCTTCCCACCCAGATAGAGCGAAGCTAGTTATGCTGTCTTGACTTACGGATGGCTGTGGCATCGCCAGTGATCGAGGTTGCAGTCGCGCGATGAAAAGACTGACACTGAAACAGTTGCGCCATTAATCATCATAATTGAATTATGATAGTGATAGTTAAAAATTCTGACTCCTGTATCATGATGATTTACACTTGTTGGCTTTTAATACTTACAATATTTAGCACTAAAGTTGTTCTTCCTAAAGCTTGTGTCCTTTCTGTCCGTTAGGTGGAGAGGAGGCGCAGGGAGCAGTGGCAGGAGCAACAGAAGCTGGAGCGTGAGGAGGCGGAGCGAAGGGAGGAGCTTAGGCGTCAGGAGGAGGAGCTTCGTCTGGAGACTCGGAGAATGACGGAGCGGGGCTACGAGGAAAGGGTGAGCAAAGTCTTCATCCACTCCAGTTACAGTAAGTTACTCTGGCTTCGGTTACAAGTGGGCCTGAAGGAAAACCTCCCCCTGTATCTGTTTATGAAATAGTACATAGTTGAGGTTGTGTTTTTTTCCTATTTATTCTATCATCTGTCATCAGTTTGCATGTCGTTTCTTGACACAATGAGACATTTTGCTTTGCCTTTGCTGCTGCACCTGTGATTCCCGCCCCAAACTGCAGTCCTTAAAGGGAGCCAAGAGATGGCGCTGAGGCTTTCAATGTAAATGTTGCACTTCCATTCAAATCAATGTAAGAAGGCTTAGTCTGAAGCGAGTAGGCCAGTGAGATGCACAGCAGGCTTGTTTCTGTGAAGCTCGCTCGGCGCAGGCTGCTTAAATTTAAGTGTAGTAGTTGATCGAAATGGGACGGTTCAGTCAGACTTTGAAAATGAGAAAACAACAGTCATTTAAAATAATATTTTAAATGTTTTAATATGATAAAGACTGAATCAAATAGAAATCATTTGACAGTTATTATATTGTTTATTTTGTATGGGCTTGTTTTAAACATTAAAGACCTGTCCCTTATTCCCAGAGTTTGCATTGCTCCTGGTTCTGTCAGATTGAACTGTCCCAAAACAAGTACTCACAGGAGTATTTATGGTAGTAAATGGGTTTATAAGTGAAGCTTAAATGCCTAGAGTGCTTGCTAATAGTAATGTAGTTCATTATACAGCTAATAGTTATTAGATTTAGTGACGCCTGTTTGCTGTAGATTCCTTTCAGACTGTGTTTCTCCATTATCTATTTTACAGCTAAATATTATTATTGTAGATAATAGGACTTGATTGATGTGAAAATTTTGTCAATGCCTTTTTAAAAAACAAAAATATTGGCTTATATAATTCTATGGTCCAGTAGTTTTAGTCAGACAGTGTTTTAAATGCATATAATAATAATAACAATAATAATAATAATAATAATAATATTTATATTCATAGTAATAATAATAATAATATTCATACAACTACTAAGAATAATAGTTATGCACCAATCATATTTTTTATGGCTTATTCTGATTTCTTCTCAGCCAAATTGAACAATAGACAATATTTTTGAGGAATTTTATTGAATTGAAACACATGAGCACATTTCCAGTATTCCTGTTAGCCAAAGTTTCAATATAAAAGCATTATTTGCAGGATTTAAGGGCCAAAGGAAGAATCTGTTGCCTATATTAAATAATATTATTCAAATTTCTATTTCAATGATATGAATGAAGTTCTAAAAAAAGTTTGACTGGTTATTCGGCGCAGTGATAATTGCTATGGCATTTTGGCACAGATGTAGCAGCAGCATGTTTTATATGGTGTGCTTTTCATAAAGGAAGCACCTCAGAGTGCTTTACAGATGAGTAATAAAGTTAAGTTACATAAATACATAAGTTTCAATAAAGGTGAGTATTATTTAAAGCTGCACCATGTAACATTTGGGGATTTGGAGCCCTCTCTGGTGGAAATAAGTAATTGCACAAGCTGTGTGGAAGAAGATTTTGTAATGTGAGTTGTGTATCGGCCCCCTTTCCTGAGTGAACATGATGACCGAAAGAGAATTCAGAGAGAAGGTGAGGGTCGTGTTTTCCGAGGATGTGAGTGAATTATCTACTATTGTCATCATATCTTCATCAGTATCAACAATGTTGATTTTGAGATCGTTTGAGATCAGAACTTCGAGCCGGCCCTTCTTTTTGAGACTGTGGTGTGAGAAACTCTTGACCCGAGGCCCACAGCAGATCAGTTTTAAAAGATGGAAAAATATATCAGTCAAATAAACACCATAAAGCATAAAACAGCACTCAGTTTTTGTTTGTTATCTTCATGTTGAAGGAAAGGTCAGAGTAAACCTTTTTTGTTATTTTTGATCGTATTAGTTTAATATCTTACCAGTGCAGCTTGTGTTGCTGTGGTTAAAGTGCGCAGTAGGTTAACATATTCAAAAGGAGACATTCTTCCCATATTAGAGCTGCTTGTTAATCACAGTGTAAAAATAAACCTCTTATAAACATTGTGTTTTGTCCATATAAATCAATGTGCCTGAAATATTAACAGATATTTATATAGATCGATATAAAACAGCATATTGGTGAGGCTGTGGCCGATGATTGGAGATAATGAATGGTGTTTGATTGAGGTTTTCTCTTCATTGCAGATACGCAGTAGACCCCGTTCAGCCTGGACATGACGACGACACTCGGACGTCTCTCGGATCTCCACACTACAGTCTTTTAACCCCTGAGCGTCCCAGAACTGAGTACCCGTAGACTTCATGGGTTACCGTTTTCACAGCTTTAACTGCAGACTGAGGTCAGACAGGGGTTTTTAATAGAGGATGAGTTGAGTCATTTCAGTGCTGGCAAGTGTCAGGACTAGAACTGGGACACAAGTTTAATAATTATTGCGTTTAGAGGATCTACACCACGGCCTGTTAGTCATAATGTATCTCAGAGTAGGAGTGACGATCTACAATCAGTTTTCTATATATACATCTGGCCTGGAACAAAACCTGCTTTACAGTCATAAGCAGAAGTGTGGTCGAATTACATGCTTTACTGATTTTGTCAAACTCATTCAGAGTGTTTTGGTGTGAAACGCTCTGTTCTAGAGAAACTTACCGAGTCAGAATTGTTCACAGTGGTGGTGATAGGAACCAGACGTCCACCTCTAAAAGCTCCCTCACAGAAAGTTTGTTGTTTGATGTCGGTTTTACATGAGTTTTGAAAAGATTTTGGCCTGATAAGTTTGTTTTTAAAAAACACATGGAGGGACACATGCAGGATATTGTGAGGCAGAATAGCCGCCAAAGAAAACTTAATTTTAAAGATTTTTCACCCTTATTTTATCTTCATCAACATCACATATAAAACTCAGAAGACGTGTGTAGGTTCACTGGTGGTTTTGGATAGTAAATGTCTATATTAGTGCTGTAGACATTGTGACCCCTGGTTCTTATAACCCCCAGTGTAAAGAAATCTGAACCATTTCACACCAAACCTGAATCAAACCTCTGAATCACTCTGTTTACATCTCAGCCACTAAATCACTGCAGAGATTTTGAAAACTCTGTGGAATTTCCATTTTCTGCTCATTTTAATGCACAATTTCTTCTAATTTGCTGATTTTAACATGTAGAAAAACATAAATGTAGGATGTGTTAGCTAATTTTCACCTGTAAAGTCAACAAAACATGTAATTTGACCAAAACCTTTGCAAAAATTTCAGTGAAACTGGTCAAAAAATTAGCACAGCAAATTAACTTGCTTTACGAATGTAGCTCGAGTGCTGTTTGATGAGCTTTTTATAGAGATGTTTCATAGGGATGTGTTATATTTTTAAATATAACATTTTTACGCTGCTGATTTTGTAGATTTCGATCAGGTACTTTTTACTGATGAGCTAGCTGAGTGCTGGCTTTGGGCTTTTTCAGATAAATTAAAATAGTATGTTTGTTTATTTATATGATTTTGCATGTAGTTTCAAATATATAATTAAACATGCTTTTGCCAAAATGGTGGTCGTGACTAAAATGTCAATAATGCTAAACTAAAACCAAGGATTTAAGGCCTCTTTACACCAAATATGATTTTTATCGCAGTGGAACCTTCACATCAAGTCCAACACATTTTTTTTGTTTTAAACACACTGAAAATGTGTGAAGATATGGAAGCCCATTTGTGCCACTTGAAAAAAGGCCTATATAGTATGTAATAATAATGACATAATTGTCATAATTATAAGATAGTAAGTCATAATGAGATAGGATCACATTATTATGAGATAGTAAGTCATAATTACGAAACATTAACTGATGAATATAAGATAGCAAGTCATAATTTATTCAATAATAATAAATGATGAGAAATTGTATCATTATTACTTTCTAAATGCCGATATATTTTTTTTCCAGAGGCGGAAACATGCTTCCATTGGAAGATGGATTCCTTAAGTCATAGCTGCTATAATTGTTTTCCCTCTGAGCACCGTAACTAAAATACACCCTGTTCTATTAAAAAAAACTGTCCATAAAACTCTACGAATTGCCTTCTAAACGGGAACCAGGATGAACCTCATTAAGAGCTTATAGATGCTAAATAGAGCTTAAGAACAACACAATGAAGCTTCAAACATAAATGAATTTTATTTCATGTTTCTTTGACATTCATTCCTGTAACTCAGCTGAGCAACTTCTTCAGCTTTTCCTAAAAGAGTATGATTAATTAAAAGCACTTGGCGAAACCTTTTTACAGGCCTAAATAGAGTAAGAGTGCCATGAGTTGGTCATGGTATGTTATTAGTCATTAACTGTGTCACAGTATTGTTAAATCTGACCTTTAAAGATTTGCAGTTATCGCCAGCGATAACAAGCATGTTGTGTTATGCAAAACATCAACAATGAAACACTAGTTAGGCTCCTACAGGTTAAAAGGTTAGCTCGACTAAACATGCTTTCATGGCTAATGCTAGCCAGGTTTCCATCCAGCTGTGGAATTAAATTCAACTCGAATATAAAAATAATAACATAACAGCTCAGGAAATGCCTGTGGCAGGCGCCTTGTTTGTTTATCATCTATCACTTTTAGGGCTGTTTTGGGGTTTTTTTGTGTTTTTGTTAAATTTTTTTTTTTTGGATACAAGAAAGGCACATTTTATTTTCATCATGAGTCCACTGGTACCTCCTCCCTCTAAGTTTTGTAGCTACAGCTATGCATAACAGTCACCTGATCATTAATTTATCACATTTCTTTTTTTATCGCCAAAATTGTATCCAAACTAACGAACCAGAAAACCCCACAGTGGAGATCTTAGAAGTCGTGTCCTCATTCTGTAGTCAGCGTCATGCCCATGTAAGGAAATCGAGGCCTAAGCTGTTTTTTTACCCCATTTATTTCTTCCCAATTTACTACCAGCGCTAGGAGGGCGAAGGCTAGCACAGGCTTCCTCCGAGACCTGTGAAGCGCCACCGCATCTTTTCAAACTGACGCTAACGTGACGTGATTGGACAGCTGAACACGCTCAGAGGAGAACACTAACAGCCAGTTCTGTTACATTAGCTAACAGACACCTGCGCTGACTAGCATTGTGCTGTGTGATGGGGGGGCACTGGGGGGCCATCCCACCCACCTAGAGAGAGAGAGAGATCAAACTCGCAATCTCCTGACGGAGAACGCTTAGACGGGAAACCGCTGTTTTTAATGAAGATCCACACGCTATTGTCAGTGCACGATGGCACTTAGTGACTGTTCTATTTTACAGCGCAGGGTTTAGTATTTTGCTATCACTGCATTAAATTAAAGCCATATTGAGACCACAGAGAGCCACATTAGATGTGCACAGAGAAAGACAATCAGTCTCACATAAACAGACAAATGCTAATGATAAGGTACCTCACAAGTTACGCTAACATTGCTAGCCTCGTCTTTTTCACCTCATATCCTCAGCTTGAAAACAGCAAGTTTGTGAAAAGGTAGTAAAGTGTGATTTCATGTTTAAAGTTTATTTCATTAAATCTACCCAAGTAGAACGGAAAAATGAACCTGAACTTGGTGTTTAACTGCATTTTGATGCATTTCGCACATCATGCTAAGCAATGCTCACCACAGCCTTTAGTCTACTATTAAACTTCAACACTATGATATATTAACATCAGCTATTTGAACTGAAGCCTGAAACCTCTAAGCTAACACACATAACAAAGCTTGCTGGTTTATGTGGGGTGTTTTGGTATCTTATGCTAAGCAGTTGTTAGCCTACATGTAGCAACATTGGATTTCAGCTTCTTAATAATCTCATAATTCAGAGGGTCAATGACAATCAGAGGAAAAATAGAAAAGTACACTGCACAGAGCATATCAGGTTCAGAACACTCTTGTTTATCCATAAAACCGATTATTGAGAACGCTAGTCATTTGTCTTACATGGTAAATATAATATAGGCATAACACCGACTACAGAATTATAACATGACCTCAGAGGTCCCTATGCTGCATTTACTTCAAGTGACTGTTTGGGAATTTCCTTTAAATCAGAATCTTATCCATGCTCTGCCTACAAACATGTTTTCTTGTAGCTACTAGGTTGGACAAGCTTTAACGAATGCTGGCAAAAATCGCATTCAACCTAATGAGAAAGGTTTGTGAACAGTCACAGAGTTAGGATAGATAGGGTAAAGTTTTTGCAGCAATAGATACTTGACTGATAGCTAGAAAGTTCACCAGCATCGGCTATTTTGCATTGCTAGGTAACTAAGTTAATGTCATAGCCTACACCACTAGCTACTGTAGCTGTACTCTAATAGAAAATATTTTTTCCTTCATTTGTATACTGATATTATGGCAAAAAAAGTGTCAATATGTTGCCTTAGGCTGCATCAACAAAGTCAGGTAAGTTTGGATTTACACAATAAAGCTTTCATGCAACTAGCTGCATGCTGTAAGTTGCCTGCAACATAACTTCCCTGTAACTTGACAGTTACATGAAGCAATTCACAAATACATTTGCCTACAACATAGTTACTCAACTTGTTAGCTAAATTAGCAGCTCTTGTTTCTTGCTACACCACATCGTTTTCAGTATAAAGTCAAGTGAGGTGTAATTTACATATTTTTTGTATCATCTACATGTTTTTAACTGTCATTGCCATTCTTTTTTCTTAAAATCTGTCGTCTCTCAGTCACTTTATTGCTACATATTTAAGTTTTTATCCATTTGCGGCTGAGTTTCAAATGAGTTGCAGGATACTTTAGATTATACAACTCAAGTGGAATTTAGTTTCATGTAGGTTTCAAGGAACGAAAGTTGCATGAACTGCGATGAGAGAGAAATCTTTCCCACGAAAACACTGTAAGCCACACAGATACATTTACATCCATGGCAAATCTGCATTATGTGCCGCAGCTCCTCATTAGGTTGAAAAAGATTCTTATCAGCGTTCTGTAAAGCTTGTCTAAGGTAGCTACACCAGCTACTAAGAAATGCCTTTATGGGAGGAGCTTGGATAGGTCAGTTTGCCCCTTCTACAAAGAAACTATTCAAGCAAACTTACTGAGTCCCCTCTTTACTCTAAAACAATTACACAGTCACCTCTTCATACTTACACAAGCTTACTTACAAACATACTTATTACTTACTGAAACATACTTCTTGCAAACTTATCTTTAAGCACCAATGGCTTTGTCTTATGACTTACAGGCAAATATTAGTGCAACCCTTTTTCCAAAAAAAGTTGGGACACTGTGCAAAATGTAAATAAAAACATTATGCAATAATGAGCAAATCATTTAAACCCTACATTTAATTGAAAATACTAAGCAACATATCAATGTTAAAACTTTTTTTTTAGAATTTCTAATATATGCCCATTTTTAATGTTATGCCAGCAACACGTTTCAAAAGTTGGGACGGGGCAACAAAACACTGGTGAAGTTGTATAATTCTAATTAAAAATACCTGGTGGTTAATTGGCAAAAGGTCAGTAAAATGATTGGGTATAAAAGAGCATCTCAGAGAGGCTGAGTCTTTCAGAAGTAAAGATGAGGAGGGGTTCACCACTCTGTGAAAGACTGTGTGGGCAATTAGTGCAACAGTTCAAAAATAACATTTCTCAATGTAAAATAGCAAAGAACTTTTCTGCATCTACGGTACATAATGTCATTAAAAGATTCAGAGAATCCAGAGAAATCTCTGTATGTAAGGGACAAGGCCAAAAACCAATAATGGCTAGCTATGACCTTCGGGACCTCAAGTCCTGCATTAAAGACATGATTCTGTAGTGGAAATCACTGCATGGGCTCAGAAACACTTCTGAAAACCACTGTCTGTGAAAACAGTTTGTTGCTGCATCCACAAATGCAAGTTAAAACTCATGCAAAGAACAAAGTGAAAGGGAAAACATTTCAGTTTCAAAACTACAGCAGTGTCTCCTCAGTTCCCAAACGCTTACAGAGTGCTGTTAAAAGAAGAGCTGATTAAACACAGTGGTAAACAGGCCCCCGTCCCAACTTTTTTGGAACGTGTTGTTGGAATCAAATTCAAAACGGACAAATATTTTTCAAAAAAACAATATAATTTCCCAATGTTGTCTGTTGTCTTTGTACTATTTTCAGTTAAATATAGAGTTTACATGATTTAAATAACAATGCATTCTGTTTTTATTTACAGTTTACAGAGTGTCCCAAATTTTTTGGAAACAGGGTTGTATTCGAATTTTATAAATGGTATTAATGTTGTCTTCAAATAGTTGCAAACAAATACATATAAAATACAAAATAAACTGATTTTATAAGCTATAAAAAATCCACACAAGTCAGCCTGAGGCTGCAGGGAGAGGAATGGGCGGGGCTTGTAGGTTTTGGTTTCCAGAAGGAATCGGGGGGATCAGATGCTGTTCTCTTTGGTTGTTATGGTTACAAGTTGCTTGGCAGCCTTGGCGATGTCGTAGGCGCACTGGATGACCTGCTGTGTGAAGACGCTGTCTGGATTGGACGTTTTCCTGCACTGGACCTGCAGCCGGTGGGCATTGGACTTCAGCGACCGCAAAGAGCCACGAACTGTCTCCGAGCGAGGCTTCTGTTGGATAAGCAGGAGAAGAACATCCCAGAGTCATAGCTAAGAAACTATGATTAAAAGTGCTGATCTAAGGTCAGTTTTTGTGATTTACATCCTAATACATGTGATTTAAATGGGCTTTGTCCAGTGTACAATAGGCCACATGTCCAAGCATTTAGGTCAGCTGCAGGAAATGTTGTTTAATAGCACAAATTAGTTACCAAAATTGATTAAGCATCAACAGCGCTGATTACCTTCTGCTCTGTATCACCCCCTGCATTTGTCTGTAATGCTCTGACAGACTGTAATACACTACAGGAAGTATAGAGGGTGATATGACTTCTACTGTTTCGTTTAAAAAGCTCTGTAATGTTCATATGATCCACAGAGTCATTCTGACAGACTGTAATACACTACAGGAAGTGTAGGGGGCAATATGTCTTCTATTTAATTTAAAAAGTGCAAACTCCAGAGGTCCATTGCTCAGTAGCTGTTAAACAACTCAAAGCATGATGCATTTGAATGCCTGTTTGACTGGGATCCTCTTACCTTGGGAAATAAAGCCACCATGTCACTTACAGCCATGTGTATTCTTTCTGCACAGGATACAAAGCTGTGAGAGGAGAGCGAGAAAAAGAAAGAGAGGTAAAGAAAAATAGAGAGATATGAGACGCTGGAAGGTGTACTAATCAAACTGAGGGGACCAAGAGCCAAAGCCAAACCCACCGCAAAACAGTCAGTTAGTAAGAGTCGCAGAGTATCAGATGCAAAATTCACATGAAAATGTATCTTCGGTTTAAATTAAATTTCCCCTTCAATACATACAATTTGGGCTCAAAATAAAAACGTATAGTTCAGTAATGTTTAACGTTAGCATCTGTTCTTTGGTACACTAGTACTGACATTAGCACAATATTTTGGACACCTTATTTAAATGAATAGCTTTATGTTAATACAAATGCAAACTGCTTCACCATCTGCATGCATGTGTTTCTGAAATTTGAACCTTGGTGTCATTCCATCCACATCTTAAAACAGACTCTTTGTACCATTTGCTTTGTTTCTCAACCAGAACTTGTTAGAAAAGAGAGGCAAAGCATTCAGAACAAATCACATTTCCATGAGAAGGTTAGTTCATTCAGATTTGGTGCATTATAGTAAGAAATATCAAAAAATTAAACAAATTAATATACATATTCCAGACTAGAACACTCGCTCATCCAGTAAGAAATGTTCATTCACACATCCAGTATGTATCTAATCCTTCACACATCCAGTATGTATCTAATCCTTTACACATCCAGTATGTATCTAATCCTTTACACATCCAGTATGTATCTAATCCTTCACATATCCAGTATGTATCTAATCCTTTACATATCCAGTATGTATCTAATCCTTCACACATCCAGTATGTATCCGATCTTTCACATATCCAGCATGTATCTGATCCTTCACATATACAGTATGTGTCTAATCCTTCACATATCCAGCATGTATCCGATCTTTCACATGTCCAGCATGTATCTGATCCTTCACACATACAGTATGTATCTAATCCTTCACACATCCAGTATGTATCCGATCTTTCACACATCCAGTATGTATCTGATCTTTCACACATACAGTATGTATCTAATCCTTTACACATCCAGTATGTATCCGATCTTTCACACATCCAGTATGTATCTGATCTTTCACACATTCAGTATGCATCTAATCCTTCACACATTCAGTATGTGTCTAATCCTTCACATATCCAGTATGTATCCGATCTTTCACATGTCCAGCATGTATCTGATCTTTCACATATCCATCATGTATCTGATCTTTCACACATCCAGTATGTATGTTTTTTTCAGTTATCAACTGAAAGATCAGGCACTAATTGAGGCACGTCTGCCAATGATCACATGTGAGTAGCTCATCCAGCAGCAGAAGGATGAAGGGGGTTAGTGAGTGAGTGGGCGAGCCAGAACGAGGCAGAGAGAGAGAGAGGAAGACACTGTGCCTGGGAGGCAGGTGCACAGGCCAGAGTACCAGGAGGCCGGGTTGCTGGGGCTGATGGGATTGACAGGGTTGTTGGGGGTTTTGGGGTTGCTGGACGTTCCAGAGCCGCGGAGACCGAAAGGCTGCATGGGGGAGGGGGGCTTCTCGGCCCAGGGCATGAGTGTGCTGAAACAGCCCAGACTGTGCCGGAGCCTCCGCACGCTGTCCCGCGGCTCACACAGCCTGCTGGAGCCCCGCAGGGGAGTGAAAAACAAGCAGTGAGAAAAGAAAAGAGAGATAAGAGGAGATACAAAAACATAAAACAGACAGAACAGAATAAAGGGGCCAGATTACTCATTTGTATTTTTCTCTATGAAGTCCACTTATAATGGTTTTATATACTAAAACCAGTCATAATTTATTTAAACAATATTTTACAATTAAACAGGCTGTTTTTATTACTGTGACTTTGAGACTGGTGTAGGTAAATGACTTCTGATTGGCTGCCCTGTATTGTGCCTCCTTCAAAAAGCAGTCCAGGGCGAAATGCGGACCAAAACTGTTAAGGACTGAAATCCTCAGGGACCTGGGGAAAACCTATACTTCAGCTGCTCCTTTCAAATTTGTGGATCCTTTGTAAGGCTGTGATGATCCATTTGCTTCCTGACAGCCAGGAACAGCACAACGTTTAAGTGTTTTACAGCGTCATCCACATCACATCAACAGGAATGGGCTAGGCTAAACTGCTGTAGGCCAAATGGGCGGGGCTAAGATGCCGTAGGCCAAATGGGTGGGGCTAAGATGCTGTAGGCCAAATGGGCGGGGCTAAGATGCTGTAGGCCAAATGGGATGGGCTAAACTGCTGTAGGCCAAATGGGTGGGGCTAAGATGCTGTAGGCTGAATGGGCAGGGGCTAAGCGGCTGTAGGCCAAATGGGTGGGGCTAAGATGCTGTAGGCTGAATGGGCGGGGCTAAGATGCTGCAGGCCAAATTGGGAGGGGCTAAACTGCTGTAGGCTGAATGGGCGGGGCTAAACTGCTGTAGGCTGATTGGGCGGGGCTAAGCTGCTGCAGGCCAAATGGGAGGGGCTAAACTGCTGTAGGCCAAATGGGTGGGGCTAAGATGCTGTAGGCCGAATGGGCAATCATATATAAATGTGTCAAAGTTGTGACATCACAACCATAAGGGATTCAAAACTGGCTAGCTTAATTTTCATTTATGGACTTTATTGCCCAGCAAACTCCAACAGTGTTTACATACAACATCAAAGGCTTTTAATACAAAAAAGAAAGAAAAAAACAGCTTTTCATGATATGGCACATTTAAATAGGATGACCAAATAACAACAAACAAATAAACAGAGATGAAAAACATTAGCAGGGAGAAAATACTAATACAGGAATGAAAGACAAAGAGAATAAACACACAGGAAAGACTAGAATGATCCTTTAGTGTCACTGCTACGTTGAAAACAGACCACTACTTAAAAATATCCCCACCAAAAGCAGCTCTGTGGTCAGAAACTGACCACTGATGAGGGACTAGAGAATGAGCTACAGTCTCTGAACACCAGCAAGGTGAAACTACAAGAAAGGCGTTTCTCATAAAGTGGCCAGGGGTCTCACCTGTCCTGCTGGCTGTCCTGGGCAGCTTTCAGCAGCTCCTGGATGTTTTTGGTAATCTGCTCTGTTTTGCGGATCACGTCCTCAGTGGTGGGGAGCGCAAGGTTAAGCTCCACCTCCAGATCCTCTGGCTCCTCCCCCCAGCCAATGACTCGCACCCTGCTTTTATCATCCAGAGAGAGAGAGAAATTAGTAAAGCTACATTATGAGCAAACTCAGTCATTTTCTGTGTGAAGTTTATTTACCATATCACCATTCGTAGATGATTTCTTCCATGGTTACGAATTTAAAGGGCAAATATCATGGAAAACCAAGTTTCCCTTGCTTTTTTGAAGTAAAAGAGTTCAACGTAGCATGTAAACATTGGAAAACACCAAAATTTGCCGTTCACTCTCCAGTCTATAAAGTCCATGTGTGGAAACTAAGCTGCATTGAATTTACTGTTTTTGTGATGTCACAAAAACTTGCAAATTTACATTTATCCATCTGCCTACTCAGTTTCGATACCAGTTTAGACCCACTCATTCATGCAGCAGTTAAAAGGAGTGTTGTAGCCGGACTGCTTTTTGAATGAGGCAGCCAATCAGAGCAGAGCTCATTTACATATATCAGTCTTAAAGGCACAGTCTGTTCAATTCTAAGGAATAAAGAGAGGTTGGGGAATGATCATGTAAATAGTTTTGGATAGATAATTTTGCAAGTGTATATAAAATGTAAGGGCCCTTTAAAAGAGGGACAACCCCTACCCAGAATCCTCCAGTTCTGAGTCGTTGACTGTGTTGTCATAGTCACCGTCACAGCTCTGCTTATCAGCCTTGGAGACCTAAACACGCAACAATGCAATATTACAGAATGTAACACAAATTAACTATACCTTGTCTAAAACATTTAAAGGGGAACTCCACCCATTTTTCAAAATTTACGATAATTCAGTGGTTGAAATGTGAATAGAGTCATTCATAGTGGTTTGGCATGAAATGGTTGATTGTAGAGACGGATTTCCGTACAGTGGTGGTGATAGGAACCAGGGGTCGCCATGACGACAACACAAATATAGCCATTTTATTTAATATCCAAAACCACCAGTGAACCGACACGTGTCTTTTGAGTCTTTATATGTAAAATTGATGGTGGTGAAAGAGTGATAGCCCCTTTAAATCAGCCAGAAGACACTGATGCCATGTGTACTTATGACTGATGAATCGATATTGAAGCTGGTTAAGTGTTTATTATGCGTTATGCATTTGTAGTTGACTCTTTTTTACAGTGTCTGAGTTGACTGCGCTGTGGCTTTCTTATCATTCAACATCACTTCTACTGCACTCACACTGCTCAAGAAACAGGCAGACCAAATCAGACGATAAATATAATCTACTGCATCTGAGTAAATAAAAAAAGCAACCCATTGCTAAACATTTTCAGCTTGATTTTTACCAGTGGAAACAAAATAAGGAGAATGACTAATAATGGAAAGCATGAAAGCAGGCGTGCAAAGCACATCAAGCAGATCAAACAATGTTAAGCATCAACATCAGAACTGAAAGGTGAGCTAATAGTAAGTGTAATGTAATGGATAAATAGGCCATCAAATGTACCTGGCTAAGAGATTTTATTATGATATCTAGGAGCACATTAACCCAACAGTAGGGGTTCTTCAAGCTAAATATTATTGATTAAGCATTAAATAATGTCAATTTAAGACTTGGAATGTTGAGAAAAGTAAAAAAGTAAAAAAAAAAAACATCTTGAACAGGTGATGCAATCATGCTTGGGTACACAGGGAGCCTCCAAGAAATGCCTAGTTATTTATGAGTGAGGATGAGTCGAGCATCACCACTTTACCTAATAATGCGCTGGAGGATAATCCAACAGCACTGCATTAAAACTGGCATGCTTCTCTGATGGATATCACCACACTGGCTCGGGAATAATTTGACAAAAAACACTGTTAACACTGTCCCCACAAACACAACAACACTGCACTACGCCCAAGAGCCTCATCTGAAGTTCATCTGAAATGGACTGATGCCCAGTGGAAACGTGTGTTATGGTCTGACGATTCCACTTTTCAGATTGTTTATGGAAATAATTGATGTTCTCTGGACCAAAGAAGAAAAGGACCATCCAGATTGTTACCAGTGTAAAGTTGAAAATCAAAAGTCTGTCATGGTATTGAGGGAGTAAGTGGGCAACTTGCACATCTGTGAAGGCACCATTAACACAAAGATATATACACATTTTGGAGCATCCTGCCTTCTAGATGCCGTCTTTTTCAAGCACGTCCATGCTTATTTCAACTACAACGAGAAACATACTGCATGGCTGCATAATCAGAGTGTGCTGGTGTTAGACTGTTTCTCCTACAGAAAACATGTAGCCTATTAAGAAGTGTGAAATGACTATGAAGGCCCGAACTGTTGAGCAGCTGAAGTACAGCAAACTTTCACTAAAACTCCACTGGAGTCATTCTCTACAGTAGAAATGCCCAATCTGGGTCAACTCAAACTCTGAAACCTAAAATAATGAAGGTAGCCTCTTCTAGTGCTGTTATGCTATATTGTAGTGTAATGTGAGCCTGTCATCAAAATTTGCATCTTAACACATTTTGCTGAAGAAAACAGACAGGAAATGCAGCATAAGCACTCAAAACGCCTCTGATAAACTGCAAACCAAGCCACAAACAGTCTCACACATTGTGCACTGTAACATCTTAGTGCAACCTTTTTTCCCCCCTCATAGTTACTGTAAGTAGAGGCAAAGTGCAAAACAAAACAGGCTTAAGTGATAAAATGCTAACAACAGTTACCATACTTAACATTTCTTTTCTATTATTATGCTCATTTGAGTTATTTTTGCTAAAATAACTAAGCTGTTCTGTTCCTCAATCTAATATTAGCAGCAAAGGCTGGATTTTGGGCAATGCTACTTCAGTCCACTAGGTGGTGCTGTGCACCTTTCACTTACTAAGCAGTGAACTCTAGCCATTCAGTCACAACAGCACAAACCAGCAGGAGTTAGCAAGTGCTAGCTCTTTTCAGGTGAGTTTGAGTCTAACTTTTTTCTTGACTTAAGCACCTTTTCTTTTTCTTCAGGGTTAATATTATTCAAAACAAAAAAAGACAATTAGTGAATATTAATATTTAAAATTATATGGCAAATTATGTCACAATAAATGTTTTGGCCATGTTGTCCAGCGCCAAAGCCAAAACTTTCGAAGCCTAAAATGTGCCAGATCTTTTTCCATCTCTTCAACCTAAAGCACCATGAAGCAGAACAGACTTGTAAGCAGCACGTTAGCTGACCATCAGCAGCAAAGCCACACAGCTATAGAGGGCAGGACAGCTTCAGCCATGATGGTAACAGTAATGAGAATGATGAGGGTGGAGATACGTCCCAGGTGACAGCAGCAGCCAGAGGACGGCTGGAACGCGGAGGAGGAGACGGACGACAGGAGCGAAGGAGGAAGAGAGGATGACAAAGGAGGGAGCTCCGCCGTCTGAGGGCAGTACATGGTCCTTGATGAGGACATGGACAAGGGGAGGGAGGAGGACAAAGAGGGGGCAGTAACCGCACCCTGTCCCAGCTAAAATACAAAACAAATGAATGCAGAGCACAAAATGAACAGAGGATGGATGACATAAGAGGAAAACACTGAATGAGTGAATCATTACAGAACCATATAGCTATTGTTGTTTCCCTATATATTCAATTTAGATAGAAAGCAACACCAACAATGTTTGACTCACCCATCTTCATGGTTTAGTGTCCACTGGCTGTCGTGACAGTTGTGGGCAGTTCAACCATGTAAAGATTAATATAACTGTATCATTAGCTAGGCTAGCACTACTATTAGTGATATTACCAATAGTATGGTAGGAATAATAGCTAGCAATGAAGGTAGCTAAGCTAGCTGCCACTTATCCAGTATTAGCAAGATAGCTAACAATACTTAATGAAAATTAGCTATTGTATCTATCTACAGCATACTGTGGTGGGTGCCACTTGCTCCGTGAAATCTCACTGAAAAGGACATACGTGGCTTTTCTGTTTTGTTCTGAATAAAGAACATTTTTTGAGCAGAAACTGTGACCTTACCTGACTCCCACTTCTGACACCAATACAGCATTGTACAGAAGAAGAGTTGTTAGCTAGATGCTTGCTTACAGCATATAAAAGCAATAATAAACAGGTGAACACACCGGTGAACTCTTTCAGCAGTCTGTCAGTGTAGAAGGAGAACTCGTACGTTTCTCATTCATCAACAGAACGTCTTAGAATAAAAGGCTATGATATTCTCCTCTTTTTATTGAGATCTGCTTTATTTTTTTGAGACAATTTAAAGAAAGACCTTTTTCCTCTGGGTATCCAGAAAAACAAAAAAATCTACAAAAAGTAACTGAAATTTGGTCTTAAAGCAACAAAAAGGTCAAATTTACACAAAAAATATCTAATATTAGCCAAAACATTAGTCTTCTTTAGCCATAAGGTTATGTAGCTAACAAGTAAAGGAAGCTAAAGAAGCAAACTTTAGACACCAATGATCTTTACTGATCAACTAAACTTGTGTCAAGGTGGAAGATTCTTGCCAAACAATTCCCTTAAGTGAATTAAATCAGAACGTGTTGCCTAATTTGGCGACACCACAGATATTGAAGCAGGACAGAATGGAAATATAAAGCACAACGACAGGATGGAGGGTGAGCGGCAGATGTACTCACATGCATTAGGAAGGGTTGCAGGGAGGGAAACTCCTCAAGCTGAGACGTCTCTGCTTTGAGAAAAGGCCTCAGACCTGAGCTCGTCTCGTACATAGTTATGGGGCGACTTTTCAGGGCGAAGGAGGATGGCGGTACGGAGTGATTAGGGGCTTCAGGAGCTCTGAGGGGTCTGACAGGGAGGCTGAGCTGAAGTCTGGCATCTGAGAGAGCTGTTCTCACTTTGCAGAGAGCGAAGCTGAAGGGAGAGAAGGGTCAGCAAGAGAGAGAGAGTCTGAGAGAAAGCAACCGGAAAACCAAGACAGTGCTGAGTAGGTGAGAAAAAAGAGCAGGAGGATGTGGTGAACTGCTCTGAAATATTGGCTATATCTGAGCAGGTGGGCAGAGGGGAAAGCTGGCAGGAAGTGGCTAACATTAGTGTAGAGCAGTGGTCACCAACCCTGGTCCTGGAACTCTACCTTCCTGTGGATTGTAGCTTCAACCACAATGTACCACACCTGCTCCAGCTAATTAGCATCTAAAGAAGTTCCTGAACGGTTAGATCAGATTCGTTAATGTTAGGTTAGGAAATGGACATCATGTTAGATGCAGGTAGGAAAACTCTGCAGGAAAGTAGATCTCCAGAAAGAGGGTTGGTGACCACTGGTTTATAGTATAACATTCATGATTCCCATTTAAGATAGAAGCTTTCTCCAGTTTTCACTTTGCCACTTGCTGGCTAACTTGGTTATCCTATAGCAAATAAGTGAGGAAGGAAGAAGAAAAGCTGTTTGCTAACCTGTTTCAACACAGCGGTTAACTAAGTGTTGCAGAGAAAATATACATATTGTCTGTTAAATGCCTAACAACAACAAAAAAGGGCCTTCCATCCCGGTTTGTCACCAAGCTTGTGGTCCAAGTGGTCAAAAATACGAGTTTCCCACCAGGAGGCACCATATAAATGTCCGTCAAAGTCGATGATGAAGTTGGGTACATCAAACTTTTTGGTGGAGCATGAACCGGCCAAGTTGTGATGTCAGACACCAGGAAGTAATCACATAAACTGTCCAGGTATAACGAATCGTAATAGTAAAGTACATTTGAAACAGTCGATTCTGTTTAAAAGCACCAGTAACTGATAGACGCCAGTTAGTTAACAAACTACAACACCCAATTCACATCCTCAGCGCTGTTCATCTCTCACATTTACCACACCTAACACGTATGTTAGGTGAACAAGCTCCCCCTCGGACAAAACTAACGCGCCACTTGCACTTGAAAGCAGCATTACTAACAACTTGCAAAGATGTTGCTTCCAGAGGCAGTTTGGTTGAGCAGTGGGATAGGTGATTTGCATTGTCTGCTGCTTTGTGGCTGAGCTGTTGTTGCTCCTACAATAGTAGCACTTACAGTTGTCTAGGGCAGATCTAGCAGGGCAGACATTTCAAAGTAGCACTGCAAAGTTAGCCAATTAACTCACTGCAGCTAACCTAGTCGAAGGCGCGTATGTTCTGTTTGAGTCCGCTCCTTGCTGTCCCCTCGTCCCCTTCTTCTGTGAGTGACCACTTGTGTAACATGAGCACGTCTGAGTGGTGAGTGGAAATCGGCGAGGGCATGATAAACAACACTGAAACTGCTAACTGTGTTTGGTGGTCGAGCTTCGGTTGCACTCATTTTGCAAGGTGAGGCAAAGTGCAAATGTCTAGTGTGACTGTGGCTTAACACACGTTTCTCCCTCTTAACCGCTGTAATTTCACAAAACTCAAACGGAGACACAATCGTGTGCAGATGTTTGGGCGCCCATGGTACAATGACATGTTGTTGTTGATTTGTCAAATAAGTGTAAATAAGTTAACAAATCCTCTAAAGAGAACACACTTCTGCACATTTTAATGCATAATCACTGCTTATTTTGCTGAAATTGAGATATAATACGCAAAATGTGGCCTGTGCAGAAGTCATGCCACTTTTTTTATATTTATTTCATTTTTTCAAGATACATTAAACTATTTTTACTAAGAAAATCAACAACACGCAATTTGACCGAGGGTGTTCAAACTCGGTATGTGTTAACGCATATAATCTTATAGCCAGCCAGTGCATTCAGCCCAAAACCACCCCAAACCCCCCATCCCAACTCCCATAAACAAAATCACTCAACAACTTCATCGCTTAATCTGTTCACTCTGCATTTAAAAAGCACATTATAGTGTACAGTGATACATCTGGACCATGCAATGGTCTACAAATTCTCTTGTAGCGGCACATGTAAGTATACAGTGTGAACTTTTCATACAAAAAGCAAAATGAGAACAATGCATAACAGAAATCATGCTGTAAAAGAAGTGAGAAACACAATGCATTTGCAAAATGGCTTTGAAATGAGTGAAAACACATGCACTGTGATGTACTTTATCCAGTGAAAAACAGCCAACAGCAGTAACCTCTGTTGTGAGTGAACATGCACTCTAGTTATTAGCAAATGAATTCAACTAAAAGAGTTAACAGAATTTGAATAGAATAAATTAAAACAAGGCAAGCTGGTTATGACAAAACGACTTTTACTGACATGCAAATTCACCAACGTCCCAGTAAATATGAGATTACAGCACCAGTCAAATGTGCACACGCCTGCCTGACTGAATGTATGTATGAAGGGATGAACGTCTGTATCTGAAATGCTAAAATCAGCTCACATCTTTAGAAAATTGTCTAAAAGGTGAGTTTGTGACACTTTACTGTACTGCAGTGTTCATAAGGCTACATAAGCCCTTCATAACAACAGACACAAACCCACATAAACATTTATAAAGATGCATAAACACTTACCAAACAGGCCATATAGCAAAGCTAGACTTTTATATCAAAATATATATGTAAGTAGCCAATATTGGACAAAAGGTCTGGAAAAGGTCTACGTCAGATTCATGACGTGTTTTTAAACTGCGTAAGTGGGTTTTAAGAAGAAATTTCAGTAACACTTTACTGTAGGGTTCTGTTCATGAGGCTACATGACACCTACATAAGCTTGCTATGACAGCTGACATAACCCTACATAAATGTTTATAAATGCTTATACCAATAGGCATCGTCTGTCATAAAGACTACTTTAGCTAACTGGTCAAAACTGGCAAATGTAACCTTTATAGCAAATTACACCTACTGTAATAAGCATTTATAACATTTATGTAGGGTTATAACAGTTTTCATGACAAGCTTATGTAGGTGTCATAAAGCCTTATGACCTGTACCCTACAGTAAAGTATTACTGAAATTTCTTCTTAAGAACGGTTGATGAATGAAGCCCAATGTTTTCTGTCATATCATATGTGCTTGTACGTTGTTATATGTCTAAAAATATGTCCTATTTTTGAAAACGGCCCATATGTGACACATTTAAGTTGAAAACAAGTGAAATCCATATTTGTTAATATATCGTCCCTGTCCAAAGAAAATGATGGATCTCCATTTTTTGTCGATTTTCATTTTTCTACATCATTTCAACACACCAGCTGCTCTTTACGTTGTGTAAAAATTTCATGATGATTGGACCAATAGAAATGCTCTAAAATCACATGGAATAGAATCTCTTTAAATTAATTTACATTGAAAGGGACGATTGTTTCTGCCCTGTCCTGTAAAGTTACTATTTTGGAGATACATGTTTTTCTTTGGACAGCGACGATATGGCAAATACTTGAAAGCTATATGTTGCCGTATATCAGATTTCATGATGTCATGAGAGGCTCATGTAGCATGTAGCCTTACGAATGCTGTCCTTCTGTTATCATAATTAGACTCCTGATTTTGAACATTAAAAAAATCCATAAAGGGTTTTTTGCATGAAAGTATGAAATGTGTATATAATGAATAAAATCAAATTTATAGACCAATCAGAACAAGTTCTGTGGTATTTTAAGTCTCTAAGTGAAACATTTAAGACTGTCATTCAGAGTGGTTTGGGCGATTCTAGAGTCAGAATTGTTCACAGTGGTGGTGATACGAACTAGACGTCCACCTCTAAAAGCTCCCTCACAGAAAGATATTACATGAAATGGTTATGAATTCACTGCCTGATGACACTTTATCTATAGTTTTGAGAAGGTTTTTTGGACTAAAACATACTTTTAACACTGTCATGGTGGAGGGATACATGCTTGATGCTGTGAGGCAAAATAGTCCCCAAAGAAAACAACTTTTTTTTTTCAGATTTTCCACAATTTTACCATCATCATCATTCCATATAAAACTCAGAAGACTGTAGGTTCACTGGTGGTTTTGGATAGTAAATAAAATGTCTATATTTGTGTTGTAGTCATGGTGACCCCTGGTTCCTATCACCACCACTATAAAGAAATCTGGATCTCTACAATCAACCGTTTCACACCAAACCACTCTGAATGATTCTGAATTCTTTTAGAAAAATTGGTGGATTATGTCTTCACTGTGATACTAGAATGTGGTTTCCTATAAGAAGTACAAACGATTGACTGGTGCTGTGGGTCAAACTGCATTCAGCTGACAAACCACTGTGATTGGATGGTGGGAAGAGGTGATGGTGATGGCAGCAGGAGATCGAGTGTGAAGTGACGGCAGGAAATCATTTCCAGCATGCCACTGCATGCATTAGTCATTTGTCCGATGCCTCTGTTTCAGCCAAAAGCGACCGTCATCAGCCACCTGCTGGAGCGCAGGGTTTAAAGGCGCTGTGCCAGCTGCCGGCAGCTGGGTTTGAACCCCAGGATTCCTGAGCCACAGCCAAGTTCTCTGCCACCTTATGGCTGAATCTCCTGTACCTTTTTCTGCAGGAGCCGCAGCTCCTCGCTCAGCGTGACGTTGGCCTTCATCAGCTGCTGGATTTTGGCCTCGGAGGCTGTCAGAGCGTTCTTCACCTCCAAAAACTCCTGCACCGACACTGGACCGTCCGACACATCAGAGTCCAGACTCTGAGGACAGAAGGAGAAAGTGGAGAATGAGAGCAGTGTTACTGGTAATGACTGGATTAAAGGCTTCTGTGTCTAAATCTTAGATCAGTGACCATAACTGAGGGTGGAGGTTTTGTCCAGCAGATGGCGCCTGCAATTCTGTTTCTGCACAGTTTGCAGTAACTTTAAAGAAGAATTTCACCACTTTTTAAAATGTTCTCATAATTTAGTGTGTTGAGTTATAACCAGAGTCATTCAGAGTGTTTTGGTGTGAAATGGTTAATTGCAGAGACTTAGATGTCTTTACAGTGGTGGTGAAAGGAACCAGGGGTTGCCATGACTACAACACAAATATAGACATTTTATTTACTATCCAAAACCACCAGTGAACCTACACGAGTCTTCTGAGTTTATATGGAATGATGATGATGGTAAAATAGTGATAAATCTGAAAAAATAAGTTTTATTTGGGGACTATTAAACTGAGTATAGTTAAAAAAATATGGTTAAGGCCAAACTCCTCTCAAAACTATCCTAAAACAGTGTCTCAGACATCAGGCAGAGAATTCATAACCATTTCATGTAGTATCTTTCTGTGAGGGAGCTTTTAGAGGTGGACATCTGGTTCCCATCAACACCACTTTGAGGGGAAACTGTTTACGTAAAAAAATGAAAATAAACCAGAATTCTCCTTCATTAGGGTGGGAACTGCTACAATACATGAGCCACAATACAGATTTACTGTGATATTTAAAATTATTTAGAAAGTTGTGGATTAAGAACTAATGAAGTAATGTATTTTGCAGATACTTAAGTAAACAAATTATATAAACTAATAAAATATAAATTAAAATAATATTTGTATTAAATCATATTGATACTTGTTCAATCATGTATTGATACTATTTTTAAACCTAAAGTATTGTGACTATTTTTTCAGTTAATAAAGATCAGCTGAAAAACACTGAAGATAAACTACCATGTATAAAAGCAGATGAGATGTTTGCACTGCACAAAACACACTGAATGTCTTTGAATCTGTACAGAAAAACATGAAATATGTCCACTTTGTGCCTGCAAGTTTACTTCAACTACTTCTAGGTTCTTTTCTTATTCCGTGTAAGTTTATCAAGCTGAATAATCTCACTTCACTGGCACACAGTTTGCTTGCATCAGCGATAATGTCTTAATCTCTTGCCTCACATGCTACATGTTTTTGCGTCATTTAAAGACACTGTAGCCCTATTGGAGCTGGATTAGTATTAATACGCCAGGGAAGGCAAATTAAGTGATTACCAACAATCCAGTACGAATCTGTCTGTAGTTTTTATGCGTCTGCTAATTAATTATTCCAGAGTGAATCACCTTCTATAATTCTCTGAACTCAGAGCTCCCTCAGTAATAGTGGTCCTGTTTAAGGGTCATTCCACAGAAACGTCCATTTTCGTGTCCCTAGCGTTTACAGATAGATTACACTTCAAAAACCGGTCATGGTTACAATTTATTTATATTTTAAAATAAAACAGTAAGTTATTTTAACAATTACACCTTCTTGAGCCGTCAATTTAGCAATATTAGTTTTTAAATCAATTATATAGAATTCCAAGCACCACAGAAGAGGTCATCCACAGTCATGTGTAAAGAGTGAGGCCATATTTTGAAGAAAAAAACACGTTTTTCTGCAATTTTAACTACAATAATCTATACTTGACCATGAAATATATGATTTAAAAGACAAAGAAAACAAATGCCAAATAAATATTATAAAATATATAATAAAAGTTCCCCAGGAGTCGTGTCACTGGTGTTACTGCGTAACAAAAAATCTCTTATTTTGAAAAAAAAAATCACACTGATGACATCACGACTTCCTTTTACCTATTTTCTGAGGGTCTATGAAGAAAAGCACATGGTGAGTCCACTGTGTCTTTCAGTTATCTAACTGCTGTGTATATGTATGTTATCTGACATAACTTACAGATCACAGCATGTTAAATATGTCTGCACCTTATTCCACACCCCTACCTCATGCTCAGAAATGAGTGTTGTGTCGGTGCTACACTGTCCTGTCTGTTTACTGTGTCTAATGTCTGTTTAATTTATCATATTTATTGTATTGTTTCTAGCTTAATTTTTGTTTGCACACTGTCTGCACATTTGCACTTTGTAATTTTGTACTTTTGTACTTTTTGTTCCTTGTTGCACCTCGTTGTTCCTGGAGGAACGTAATTTGACTCCACTGTGTGTTTGTACATAGATGGAATGATAATAAAAGCCTCTTGACTTGACTTGACTTATCAGAAATTTTCTCATTTAGCTCATGATTTCATATGAAGCTTTTAGTTGAAGTCACTGGTGTGACCGACTTTATTCTTAGGCAATTGTAAAAAAAAAAGAACACAAATGGGTTAAATTACATATTTTAGTGGATATTCCATGATTGACAACATGTGGTTTGATGCTCTGTAGCAGCCGTTTTGTAAAATGCATTTTACATTAAAATGTCTCTGGCGTTAACTTTCTTATGTGTAACACCAATGAAGATCGGTAACACCAGTGACTCTTATGTAGAGATAGAAAAGTGGACGTTTCCGTAGAAGGACCCTTAAATCAACATCACAGTAATGTAATAACAAAACTGGGTATTAGAAAATGGCCTCCAAATGGAGCTTGATTTGAAGTCTTTAGTCATCAAATTCAATTAAAGACCACCGAAATCCGCAACAGTTCAGCGTATATTCCCTCCCGAACACAGTAATTATGCACCATCATGTATAATTGCTATTGATAATGTGCAACAATCCACTGTGAAATGAGATGCAAAGCTAACATTTAGCAGCACAGCGTGTTGTTATTGTTCAGAAGTGCGGCGCCGTCGCCTAATGCTGAGGTAAACATCTGTACGATGATGTTTCGATACGGGCTATTTGGGGAATCACACAGATCCTTCATCCTGTACGAACCGGCCGGTCAAATCATGCACAGATTACATTACCAGGCCTGCTCTAGTAAACTAATCCAGCTCCAATAGGGCTAAAGACACACATGCATGTCTCTTCATGGAGCTTAATTCTTCCTGAATCCCAGCAGCCTCTGCGCTCACCTTAGCTCGGCCTGTTTTCAGAGAATGCGCTTCGACGTCCGTGTCCTCGTCTGAAGCCACGCTGTCGTAGTCGTGTTGATCGGTGTCTTGGCTTTCGCTTGGGCGCCGACTGCTCGAGCGCTTTAGAGTCAGCTCGTCTGGGGAGAAAAAAATAAAACATCACTGTTATCCCAAATGTAGATCAGCAAAGACATGCCTGGTGTATGAAGGCTTTCATTTGAAATTAGAGCTATCAGGCTAACATAGCTAACAGGGATGTGCTCGGGTACTGGAGTATTTCGTTTGAGGCGCCAGTACTAAATAATGAAATCACTATTTGGGTATTTGTTATGTTTCATCACAGAATGGCAGAGAAAATATAGACCTAACAAGTCAATAAAACGCTGCTTTTATGTTTTAACAAAATTGTAAAATGTGATGGTTTCGCTCATATTTGTGAGCAAGTATGCACACTATATTACCAAAAGTATTGGGACACCTACATATTACACCTACCGGAGCTTTTATGAATCCCATTCTAAATCCATAGGCAATAATATGGAGTTGGACCCCCTTTGGGAAGCTTTCTACAAGATTTTGGAGTGTCTGTGGGAATTTTTGCCCATTCATCCAGAAGAGCATTTGTGAGGTCACTTGTTAGCAATGGGTGTGGCTGAAACATCTGACTCAATTATTAGGAGGGGTGTCCCAATACTTTTGTCTACATAGTGTATGATACACTTTGCTACTATGTTGTTAAGGATGTGACTAAGACAGGCTTTACATGATGAAACTTTCATGCAACTCGTTGCACATTGTGATTTTCTTGCAGCTTGTCTGTGCAACTTGTCAGGTATACGAAGCATTGCACGCAACACATTCAGTTAATCCACTAGATAGACAAACAACAATATAATTTTTCCCCAGCTGTCTTTATCATCTATCTGTCCATATTTGACCTGAGTTTTGTGCATGTCAAGCCTTTAAAAAAGTGAATGTGTATGTGGCCTTTATGGTTGCACTCGACAAACTTGCTCATCCATGCTGTGAATTCAATGAGGAGCGCAAGTTTCATCTTCTGTAATAATTTTCATTTCAACTTTTACAGGATCCCAAATAAATCTGAGCTCTGTGTAAAATTATGAAGCGTCAAGAGAGTAGAATGTGAATCTGGCTACACAGATCATGAAAACAGCCGGCTAAGGAAGAATAAAAGCTGACACAAGCAGCTGTTAGCTAGATAATGCAGAAACGTTAGCTTTGAAAACTCGTTTTTGTTGAAATCAACTGTTTGATATTGAAGCTGTGTGGAAGTTTTACTGAGCCTTAGAAGGCAGATGTAGCACAGCATGGCTAACATAGCTACTAGCTGATGTTAGCTAGGTCCAGAAACAGTGAAACGTTGTCACGTCGTCCACTGAGGAGAAAAGACCTGGTGTAGGATGACGAGTCCTCATCAACGTTCAGTGTTGTCCCAGTTAACTGTAGTTTTAGCTCCCATTTGCTTACATCAGTAGTTTTAGCTCTGCTAAGTGCTGATCCTTTACCTCACCAATTAGCATAGTGCTAACTACAAGTGGATTTTTTGTCTGTTTTTATCTCCTCAGTTTAGCTGTGTCCAGTTCCACCTGCTAGTTCTCCTCCTATCACACGGTGCTACCACTGGACAACTGGACAATCAACACACTTGAAGAAGAATGCTAACTGCTAAATCTGTTACGTCAGCCAACTGGCCCCTGTCCTGGCTAGCATCTTGCTGAGCGACTGTTGGATAGTGGGGACAATTCTACCCAACCAGAGAGACGTTTATCTGTGCTGTTGTCCAATAAATAGTTTGCATGATGCTAACTGGTGGAGTATTAGCTTCCATCACCTCAGACTCAGAGTCATTAGCTCCAGTGAGCTGGATTAGAGCGCTATCCTGATTAGCTGGCAGTAGGAGTTTACCTTTAGGAATCGTGGCCGAGCTCCCCTGCTGACGACGCATCGCATCACTCAGTATGTCGATGATAAGAGTCGCAAACTCGTGAGTGTTGAATCTGGCAAGTTTCTGTCTTCCCTGGAAAAGAAATAATTATTAATAATTAGTGTGATCATAACATGCACAAGCATGTATTGGTGTGGATGCATAGAACAAATAATACTAATTGATATACATTTACTGACCACTTTATTAGGTACCTTGTGTTTACACTCACTGTCCATTATATCAGCTCCACTGACCATATAGACGCACTTTGTAGTTCTACAGTTACAGACTGTAGTCCATCTGTTTCTCTGCATACTTTGTTACCCTGTTCTTCAGTGGTCAGGACCCCCACAGAGCAGGTATTATTTGGGTGGTGGATCATTCTCAGCACTGCAGTAACACTGACGTGGTGGTGGTGTGTTAGTGTGTGTTGCGCTGGTCTGAGTGGATCAGACACAGCAGTGCTGCTGGAGTTCTTAAACACCTCAGTGTCACTGCTGGACTGAGACCCAGAAATATCAAGCCAACAGCGTCCTGTGGGCAGCGTCCTGTGACCACTGATTAAGGACTAGAGGATGACCAACACAAACTGTGCAGCAGCAGATGAGCTATTGTCTTTGACTTTACATCTACAAGGTGGACTGACAAGGTAGGAGTGTCTAATAGAGTGGACAGTGAGTGGACACAGTGTTTAAAACTCCAGCAGCACTGCTGAGAATGATCTACCACTCAGATATGCTCAGTGGGGGTCCTGTGGGGGTCCTGACTATCGAAGAACAGGGTAACAAAGTACACAGAGAAACAGATGGACTACAGTCTGTAACTGTAAAAAAAACTGTAAAAAAGTGCTCCTATGTGGTCAGTGGAGCTGATAAAATGGACAATGAGCGTAGAAACAATGTAGATGTACCTAATAAAGAGCTCTTTATCTGCAGATAAATGCCATATTTAGTGTGTCTCTGTAGAGGATTTATTAACTTATTCTCACTTAGACAATCAACAAACCGTGTTCACACTTTTTCATACAACAGTACAGATTAATTAAATGAATTCTATATAAACAGCACTGGCCGGCAGAGAGGGCAGTGAAAACAAATCCACCCCACACTTCTTGTTCACTTTCACAACACTGCAGCTCACTTCTGCTTTTTTCAGATTCTTATCTAGGGTGTGGTGAGGGGCGCCGCTGTGCAAACTGTGTCGACCTGGTCTGTAATCTCAGTAAACTCAAACAGACCTGATTAGGTCTGGATGGGATGTGACGACAGGGTGAAAATGACCTGTTTATAAATGTCCATTTACTGGAAAGCTAAACTTTATATGTATATGAGTTAAAATGTACTTGATAATGAAGTCTACAGGACATAAACTGGAACAGCACAGTACTGTTTCAAATCATTTTAATACTGTTAAAAGGGGCTTCCTAGCCCACTAAGCCCCTCCACCTGCTCCACTCTGATAATCTAGTTTTCATCATTAACAGCGTTTTTCCAAAGAGATGGTCAAGGACCAGGTGGACCAACAAGGTAGGAGTGTCTAATAGAGTGGACAGTGGACACAACACACACTAAACACCACCACCATGTCAGTGTCATTGATGAGAATGACCCAAGACCCAAATAATACCTGCTCTGTGGTGGTCCTGTGGGGGTCCTGACCATTGAAAACAGACTGTTGTCTATAAAAGTAGACACTACAAATAGTAACAGCATCCCAAAATCTGAATTTTGTCTGTTCATTTGCATATGCTAATTGGTGTACATGCACTTCCGTTACATTAGCCATTAGCAACCCATCAAATTTACCGGTATAAAGTACGATTTTGACACAATTATGGAGGTTTAGGCCTGTAAAAAGCTGGGATACGGGAAATCTAGTCTAAAGCAGGTTCTACATAAACTCTGGACAGTAATTCTGTCATGGTCTGATTTGATTTGCTCTACAGAGAACACATTTTAACCCCTTAACAAGCTGTTTTATTACACACTTCTATAACCTAAGAATAGCTCCATTACTTTGTACTGAAGTCCCTGTAGTTACTGGATAACATGCCTTTTTATGAAATAAACCTGAAATGTTACGGGCTTAATGCTCAATTACTGTCTATTTGCTGAACTTAACAAAAAAAAGTGCCATGTCAAAAAATAAAACCTGGTTTAACTGTGGTTGCTGCTGATTTTTATGGTAGAAGTGTTTTACACGGGTATCAGAGAATTTACAGTTTGGATGCTGTAACTATAAGGTTTTCGAGGTTGTAGCTCGAAACTACAAACACCGAACATGTCTTGGCTGTTCGACTACATGTGGAGAAAAGGGAAGAAAAGCTGTTCATTATCACTTTAAAGTTGAGTTCTTGTTTTTCACACGCCAGATCAGCTCTGTTTAAGCCGCACTGCAATCTCTGATGCACTCTGCACGAGCGTGATCTTCTGCTCCGAAGCTGCTGCACAGATACCACGTAGGTTCTGAAGTGTAAGAAAACACGCTTCCTGTTCGCGCGCCTCAGTGGTTTTTTGTCTCGGTGGTGTTGTTGAGACTCGCCTGGTTTCGTGTAGAGGAGTATTCGGGGTTTACAGGAAGGAAAGGCACGAGCACGGCTTCAGTCATCAAGGTGCTGTGGCTCTGAGTGGTCAACCAAACTGAGGACGTCACAAACGAAACATTGAGAAAAACAGAGATGCGTTTACATTAGTGTGGGATGGCTGGATGTACAGTAGCCTCGATAAACTACTAAATAAACTTCCTTTGGTTCATGCAAGCTTGCCTGAGCACAAATTTCTATCACTTTATTCATTGTCAAATTCAAACTTTTGTTTACATGATTTTTAACCACATTTTTCTACAAATAAAAACAGGAAAGTGTGTCATGTTAGATATTCATCCAAAGTATAACCATTCAGAATCTCACCTCTCTAAACCTCTCACAACAAGCTCTGTCACATTCTTCCTTCTCAAACTACATGTGGCTGCTGGACATGAATGACCTAAATACTTACTAAAGTACCAAACATACGTCTACTTTACATTCCTGCACTTTCTTAAGAAACTATACTTAATTAAACCTACTTTTCGCCTTGCATCATACTTACTAAGAGTAGTACTTACTCAGTTTAAAAACAGCAAATTCATTGACTTGCACAGAATGAAGTATGCAGCCTGCAGGCTACTGAAAACAGGCTACTTTGGAAAAGCTAACATGTGGATGCCTGCAGGCTACTGAACACATAAGCACACGTTACACCCTGAAAAATGAAAACCTACCAGCGTCTGTTTCTCTTCTGTCCACCTCATCGTACACGTCCATCGCCAGCTCCTCAAACAGGTGATTACTGAGCTGCAAGCAAAATCACAAAACACACAAAAGCATGGAATAAAATGTTCTACTGATTTACAGTTAGACTGATCATGATTGGGGCTTAAAAACGCCTCAGCTGCACAACTTTTGGTTTACGTAACTGCAGTTACTCCAAACTGTACTGCAGGACTGATGATTCTCTAGTGATTATGACTTTGGTTTATTAATAATAATAATAATAATAATAATAAAATAAGGGAAACAAACTTTAGTTTGTGTGAACAAACTTTAAGTTGCGGCTCAGTTGCAGATCCTCTTACTTCTATTACACTACAAATAGAAAATTACAAATAGAAGGGAAAATCCAGAGTGACTGCACAGCAACAATTTCCCGGCACTGCTAAGGTGTTGCTAAATCTTCGCAGTGGTGTTCCAGGTTATTGCCAGGGGATTGCTGGGTGGTTACTGTGGTAAAGTTAATGGTATCGCTTATTGGTTTCTATTGCTTTTTGAGTGTTTGCTAGGTTGTTGCTAAGTGGCTGCTATGGTATTGCAGGAAGGCTGCTGGTAGGTAATTGCTACGGCATCTTGCTCAGCGGTTGATATGGTATTTCAGGTGGTTGCTAGGACTGTTGCTATAAGGTTGCTACTTATATAAGGTGCTTTCTGGGATATTTTAGGTGGTTGAAATTTACCGGTACAAAGTGTGATTGTGTTGCAATTTTGGAGGTTTACGGCCGTATAAAGCTGGGATACAGGTAATCTAGGCTAAAGCAGCTTCCGCATAAACTCTGCGCAGTAATTCTGTCATGGTCTGGTTTGTTTTTCTGGCTTTTTTCTGCTTTTTAAGACTTGCCAACCTTTAAAAAAATAATCAGATAAAGTAAAAAATGTATGTACGAACTAATTAGTACCACAGAAATATGATTGTTAAGTGGCTGCTAAGGTGCTTTTACATGGTTACTATAGTATTTCTTATGTTTGCTGCTGTGGTGTTCCAGGTGGTTGCTAGGGTAAGTCTATTGTGACATGACTTGTGGCAGATAAATTAAACGTATATTTAATCATGTCATTTGGTTATAGGCTCCATGACTGTGCAAAGTCTGGTGGTTCCAGTTTTAGAGAAGTAGCACTGACAAATGTCAGTTTAGAATCATAATAAGAAGAACATACAAAAACGTTGTCTAGCTAACTTAATTATATTATTTGTTCTATTTATATAGTGCCTTTCTTAAATCCAAGGTCTCTTTACAATTGCAACTAGGGAAAAATGTAAGTTTTTACTTAGAAATGATTCTGCAGTTACTATGATGTCGTCACTTAGACATTATTTTGTAGTCATTATGACTCGAAGACTCACCGACTGTAGTTTTCTTTTTGCAGCCTTGGCCACCTCTGTTAAATCTTGGCTGCTGCAGGAGTTACGAAAAGAAAATGTTGTTAAATTTCACATTTTTTTAATAAACATCCCTGACGCCAAGTTTACAGCAGAAAGAAAGCCAACTTCCTCAGCGAATACCACTGAAACAAGGTGAAAAGGAAATGTGTCATGTTAACCACTTGTAACAAATACTTACACATTTCTTTCCTCAGAGAAAGCAATAAAGGTACAGAGAAGCTTAGTCACACAGGATGTGACACAGAACGCAAACACACTATTCCTCAATGATGAGTTTGAAAACATAAGCTACAAAAACATCAGTACCTGTCGGCCAGCTGCGGGATGAGGAAGTGTTGTCCATTCTTATGATCTGAATAATAAAAATAAATAAACAGCGTGTGTTACATACATTCCCATATTTAAGACCTTTTTTAACCAATAAGTGAATAATTTCGGTACAATAATATATAATTAAAGATTAAACTGTATGATATTTTTTTTCTTAGCACATATATTAACCCCTTAAAATAGAGGCCTCTTGTGCGATTATGTCAATGATTAATCTTAAATTTATTATTCAGTAAGTACTATGAAATATTAAGTAATTGCTATAAATTATTTGGTAATTACAGTGATTTATTTACTAACTACAATGAATTATTCAGTAACTTCTATGTGTTATTTAACAATTGTTAATTAATCAACCAGTAATTTTATAAATTATTCAGTAACTACTATAAATGATTCACTAATTATTATGAGGTATTTAACTACTATGAACTATTTAGTAAATGCTATAAATAATTCAGTAATTATTATAAATGATTCAGTAATTATTATGAAGTGTTCAACTATTATGAATTATTTAGTATCCACTATAAATTATTCAGTAATTACTATAAATGATTCAGTAATTATTATGAAGTATTCAACTACTATAAATTATTCAGTATCCACTATAAATTATTCAATAATTACTATAAATGATTCAGTAATTATTATGAAGTATTCAACTACTATAAATTATTTAGTATCCACTATAAATTATTCGATAATTACTATAAATGATTCAGTAATTATTATGAAGTATTCAACTACTATAAATTATTTAGTATCCACTATAAATTATTTGATAATTACTATAAATGATTCAGTAATTATTATGAATATGAGTATTCAACTACTATGAATTATACACACATACAGCTGGATGCAGCTGACTATAGCAACAGCTCACCTGGCTTACGGCCACACAGGTAAAAGGCCAGTCTGTCGGTCAGTTCATACTGAATTTCCACCAGACGATCTACCAGGTCCAGGTGGCCGGCCTGTCTGGGGAAAAAACATGCCACAGTTTTTGCTCGCTGATATGATCATATTCATCATAGCAGCCATTTACAGATAACTCAGAAACAAAATGCTAAAACTCATGTCTAATATTGCGTCTCACACACTGATAATTCACAAATTACTTCAGGCCTTTTAACACTCAGAGAAAACAAGGCTATGAATGATGAGAAAGGCTATCTGTAATTATTCGAATGCCGGAGACATATTTAATACTAGACTTTAATATTAGTACCGACCAGAACACACTTCCACCTTCTACAGTGTTCTATAGTATATAAAAAAATAATAATAGAAATAATATATAATGTAATGATCTTGGTGGAGCAGCTCCTGCGCTGTACTAACTCTGTGTGGAACAGACTGCTGTGATACAGAGGTAAAAACCTGTGACTGTGATTTCTTTGGCTATTTGTGCTCTGTGGGTTTAAAACTGCTGTAAACTGTTTAATTAGAAAAAAAGAGAGAAAAATCATCTGTGGTACCTTGCGTACTCGATGGGTGTTTTTCCGTTGGCGTCTGGAGCTCCAGGGTCGGCTCCGTACACCGAGAGCAGCTCCACCTGCGACACCTGCCCTGCTTTAGCTGCAACATGCAGCGGCGTGGTGCCTTTCTCCTGCTCAAACAAACCAAAGAAAGTTAGAACAAAGTTAGAATTACAAGCTTCAATACAGTTTTCACGCAGTAGAGGTGCAGTGGGATTTTACCGGATGGAAGAAGTTGGCTTGAGCTCCAAGTGAGAGTAACCGCAGACACGTTTCCAGATTACCCGTCCGCACGCTGGAGTGAAGTTGCTGAAGATTCAAAGACAGTGTTTTACTGTAACTGTTAACTGTGCATTAGAAACATTAAACCATGCAGCACCTAAATAATCAGACTGCAAAGACTACAAACACTGCAGATTCATACCGGATTAAAATCACTCCGCAATTATTACAGTCAGACTGTAAAAACTACACACACTGCAGATTCATACCGGATTAAAATCGCTCCGCAATTATTACAGTCAGACTGTAAAAACTACACACACTGCAGATTCATACCGGATTAAAATCGCTCCGCAATTATTACAGTCAGACTGTAAAAACTACACACACTGCAGATTCATACCGGATTAAAATCACTCCACAATTATTACCGTCAGACTGTAAAAACTACACACACTGCAGATTAACACTGGATTAAAATTATCTCATAATTTAAATTACACACCCTTCATAGACTAAAGCTAATCCTGATCTTACAGGATTTAAGAAACTTTTGATTTTGACTCCAAGGGGAAAAATCTGTATAGAATAGAGTGAAAGCACAAAGAACAGAATAAACATGCTCACCTTGCTCAGGTCCTTAGCGGTATAACTGTCCTCATCGCGACAGGGTGCCCGATGGACGAAAGCCAGCATTTGATATTTGGCTCTTATAAACTCAGCTTTGTTTGGGCTGTGGAGGAAGAAAGATGTACGTAAATTATTTCTGATCTAAATTTGCACCAAACTGTTAGCATTTGCTTCCCAAACCACATGAACAGCACAACATTTAATCGTTTTCCAAAATCTTCTACTCCTGTAACTCTACAGACTGTCTGCTGTAGCTGAAAGGGTCGTCATACAGTCATGTGAAAAATTATGACACCCCATGAAAACCTGTCCTTTTTTTATTAAATTTAAACATATGGACATCCGATCTTCACTTTAACAATAATGAGAAATCGGTGTAATATAACTGCACAAGTAAAACTGAAGAAATGTCTCTGAAATATAATTTGTAAAATGCAAATAACAGAAATGAAATTTTCTTGTGAGGAAAAGTTATGACACCCCACATTTATTACTACTTAAAATGCCTAAAATTAAAATCAGGTGCAGCATATCAGCTGCAAATGATTAGAACATCATTATTTTGGATTTTAGAGAAGCCAGTTATATTTAAACCTCAGACATTTCGTTTGGTTTGGTCGTGAATGTTGAAGTGAGTGGTATCACCATGGTGAGATCCAACAAGCTCTCTGAGGTTATACATACATATGAGTCTGGGAAGACGTTTGAAAAGATCTCAAAACAATGAGAAATCAGCCATTCCACTGTCCGGAAAATCATTTACAAGTGGAGAACATTTAAAATAACTGCCAACATGGCCAGGTCAGGCTGTCCTAGTCCCAGCCCAAGATGCATGAAGAAGTCTCCAACAATCCTAAAATGGATCTACAGGTAGCTCTTGCCACAGTTTATATCAAAGTACATTCATCTACCATCAAAAAGAGGCTTCACAAGTCTGATTTTCATCGAAGGTATGCAAGGAGGAAGGCCTTGCTGGGTTTTGGACTTCTGGAAAAATGTGCTTTGGACAGATGAATCTCAAGTTGAATTATTTGGGCACAATATGTAACAGAATTCTTCTCAAAACTATCCTAAAACAGGGTCTCAGACATCAGGCAGTGAATTCATACCCATTTAATGTAATGACTGTCTGTGAGGGAGCTTTTAGAGGTGGACATCTGGTTCCTATCACCACCACTGTGAACAATTCAAACCAAACCACTCTAAATGAGTTGACTATGCTGAAATTTGAAAAATTTGGTGGAATTCCCCTTCATCATTCTTCAACAAGACCCATTCCCTGTTCCACGTTGTTAAGACACTAAAGCACTCACTGGAGTTTATCCTGAGGACTGGCCTTCCTCTTGCCGCTCGTCGTTGAGGCTGAGTCCAGCAGAGACTGCTCCCAGATTGAGTTTGATCCATTATTATACAACGCCTGGACCATCTGTGGACGAGAGAAAACGGCTCTGTTAGAGGAAGAGCCCTGAGGAAGAACCCACAAATGAACGGACAGCTTTAGTGTTAACATTAGAAATGAGCTACTGTGCTTCCTATACCTGTATAAAACAAGCTCCATGCTGCCTTTACTGCTGATGAGCATAAACACACATTTATAAAAGAATGGAAGGTCAAGAGTGAACACAATAAATATATATAAAATGTAATGTTATATTTAGTTGCTGAGGCTTCTGTATTATTTTCTTATTAAATATATATTTTCTGCTTTTCTCTGACATTGAAGACCAGAAGAATGAACTAAAGCCTTGCTGTCAATCAGGCTTCGAGTACGTGTGTGTGCAATGAGTGGTCTCACCTGTACTTGTGAGGGAAGTGTGTATGAGGTGAAAGGTGTATGTGTGTACATGCGTTCTATGGATGTGCACTGTAAGGTCTCCCTCCCTCCTACACACGTATGTAAGACACATTATTATGGCACTTTATTTATTTTGTTTACATGCCACTGTATAAGCTCCTCTTACCATGTAGGAGCACTTTGTAGTTCTACAGTTACAGACTGTAGTTTACTGTAATGCCAGCACAAAACACGCTAATACGTCACTGCAGTGCTGAGAATGTGGGGGTCCTGTGGGGGGGTCCTGACCATTGAAGAACAGGGTAGCGAAGTATACAGAGCAACAGATGGAATACAGTCTGTAACTGTAGAACTACAAACTGCTCCTATATGGTCAGTGAAGCTGATTCAATGGTGTGTAAATAAAATAAATAAAGCGGCTGGTCAGTGTATATAAGCTCCCCGGACAAAAAATTTGTCACCTGGCGTGTTTAAGGTGGTAGTAACTTCAGGCGCCTACAGATGGCGCTGCATGAGGATGATCAGGGTGTGTGACAGGATTCATAGATTGAGAAAAGGTGGTACAGTGCAGTGAATGTCTCGCTCAGTGTGTGGAAAATGGGTCACAAAACAGATGTTAATGATTGACAAAAAGGAGTGATTGCATTTGGGCACCAAAGACGACAGTGTGAAGGAAGTAGCTCAAGTGTGTGTATCGAAGCATATGGTCATACGGGCTGACCAGCAGCGGCAAAAATGCCAGTCTACAGGAAATTTGCATCAGAACTGTGGCCGAAAGACGAAACTGACGGACAGGGACTGCCGGCGTGTTTCACGACTTGGGAATAAAAATCGCTTCACTTCCAGGCAAGAAATGCTTCTAGAAGTCAAACCAGTTTCTTCACAACCAATTTCTGAAAGAACTCTCTGCAGGGAACTGCATACCATGAACACAAAGTTATATACTATACACAAAGTTAAATTCTTCTGCTCACAAAGTTGCCAGGTTACTGGCAATGTGTTATCTGGTCAGATGAGTCCCGTTTCTGTCTGTATGTGAATGATGCTCGATGTCGTGTTCAACGTAGACCTCAGGAAGCCTTCAATGAGGACTGTGTGCAGGTGTGGTTCAAGCTGGAGGAGCTCTGTAATGTTTTGGGGGTGTTTTATTATGCAGAAATGGGTTCTTTGGTTGAGGTGACAGTAAATTTGAACCACAGTGCCGACATTGAGCTGCTGGACAATCAGGTTTTTCCTTTTGCTCATCTTACCGAGGAACCTAACATTCCTATCCCTGTATTCCAAGATGACAATTCTCGTGCTGCATTGATTGGCATGATGAACATTCAGGATCATTCACACATCCGGACTGGCCCGCAAAATCCCCAGATTTGAATCCTCTTGAAAATCTGTGGGACGACCTGGAACAACGAGTAAGAAGGCAGGGAAGGCTTCACGAAATCTGGCCGAACTGCGCAATTCTTTGATGAAAGAGTAGCTGAACGCTGATGTCGCCTATATACAGAACCCTGTCCAGCCCAGGCCAAATCGAATCGCAGCTGTTATTCGTGCTCGTGGAGATATTACACACTACTAGGTACATTTCATATATATATATATATCTCTCACCTGTAGCTGTGTTGGAGGCCAGGAGGTGTGTACGAGGTGGCGTATTTGTGAGCTGTGGCGTCCGAGACTGCGATGCACACTGCAACACTGATCACAGATCAGCACTGCTCTGTTCACCGATGCCCAGCGCGGATCTGTTAAAACAAACAAAGAAACAAACATCATAAGCAAAAAGCACTGACCACAGATCTGCACTGCTCACTGACCCTCAGAGGGGAACTTACAAACAAACAATTAAAAAGTAAATGATAAGGATGAATTTTTTTAGACTTGCTATTCGAAAAGCATATGCATATCCCAACAGAAAATATTTAATATGCTCTGAATAAAACATATAAACATGAAGGTTGCAAGCAGCTGGTCTCAGAGGTGATCCGCATAAATGTATGTGAATAATTGTATTTTTTTGTTTGAAATATTTCCGTATACAGCTCAGCTTAGATGTGCCTAATTCGTTTAACATAAGACACAGCTCGTGTGTTTCAGTTCTATTATTGATGTGCTCTGACCAACTTCACCCCACAACTTGGAAGGGCCTAAACTATGCAATCACACAAATAGCCACTCACATGACAGCAGAGGAAGGGATGACGTGGGGCAGATTTTTGCGGTAGGCCCTACATTTACAATCATCAGTGGCCCAAAAGACAAATCTGGCCCGTGAGCCAGTTTTCTCCCCACAACCGTTTTTCAGTTCTGTTAAAACTACGTGGTCAAGCACTGAGCAGCTCTAGCATCATCTGGAAACGTGCATTCTGACCAATTCTGACATTCACATATCTGTAAGAGTTTCAAGGAAAGAAAAAAATACAGCGACAAAAATTCCTACTTTGGCCAAAACTAACAGAAGGCTGTAGGCTTACTGTTTCAGATGATTACACTGGTGTCAGAAGGCGAAAGAATCAGTAGCAAAGAAATTCAGCAGCACACAGAAGCTAACTTAGCAACCATGCTTTTTATTAACAGCAAGTGTTACGGCAAAAATATCATAACCATGATACTTCAAGACATTTTCACGCCACATGCATCATGATATTTATTCAGTGTTTTACAAACTGCACTGCACTAAATCCAAACAGGCCTAATTATGCTCATTTGGAATAAAACATGTAGTTAGTCAGTGTTATTTAAGTACTGATGATATTCACGACACGCTCGGAAAAGCATATTGTGACATAATTTATCATGAGTGTAGCAGTAATGCCAACCAATCAGCACTCAGCAGCGGTAATGCCAACCAATCAGCACTCAGTAGCAGTAATGCAATCAGCACTCAGCAGTTGTAATGCCAACCAATCAGCACTCAGTAGCAGTAATGCAATCAGCACTTAGCAGTTGTAATGCCAACCAATCAGCACTCAGCAGTGGTAATGCCAACCAATCAGCACTCAGTAGCAGTAATGCAATCAGCACTCAGCAGTTGTAATGCCAACCAATCAGCACCCAGCAGTGGTAATGCCAACCAATCAGCACTCAGTAGCAGTAACGCTAACCAATTAGCACTCAGTAGCAGTAATGCAATCAGCACTCAGCAGTTGTAATGCCAACCAATCAGCACTCAGCAGTGGTAATGCCAACCAATCAGGACTCAGTAGCAGTAACGCCAACCAATCAGCACTCAGTAGCAGTAACGCTAACCAATCAGCACTCAGTAGCAGTAACGCTAACCAGTCAGCACTCAGTAGCAGTAACACTAACCAATCAGCACTCAGTAGCAGTAACGCTAACCAATTAGCACTCAGTAGCAGTAATGTTACCAATCAGCACTCACTAGCAGTAATGCCAACCAATCAGTGCTCAGTAGCAGTAATGATAGCATCCTACTGCCCAAAATCTGTTTGCTGTATAAAAATAAAACTATACGGGTAGATTTTCATTGCCTTTTTAGTGAAATACATCTTTCTACTTTCTAAAATTAAAGGAACATCTTGAACAAGTGGTTAGAAACTGTTTTAACTTTTCGTTTTTAGCTGTTTATTCACTCCCATTCGCAGCACCCTCTGGCATTTTGCAGCCCTGTTTTTGACATAATGGGAGAAATAAGAAGTGGCCAGACTCCACTTAAACCAGCTGTGGGAAAAAGGCTGCAGAGCTGAGCCAGCGAAGGAGAAATCTTTGGACAGTGAGAATAAACAGGAAACACTTAAAGCGTCTCCCACCAAAGTCTACTCTCCTGCGGTCATCATTTTGCCACAGGTGGACAGTTAGATGAAAGATGAATTCTACAGTTTTGACCATTTTCGAGTGTTGAGAATTATTCTCGACTAACAACTGACACTGGATGATGATTGACGTTTGCAGTCTAACTATTTACGTCTAGATCTCTTATACTTTAGCTAGACAGTGAATGCAGTTGAGCGAACATTAGCATTAAGCTAACGTAAAGTCAACACTGATTAACCCCAGCAAACACAGACACGTAGTTATCAATCACTTTTGATGTTTGGACAGCACTGACCGCTGAGAGCTGGGCGATAGGGCAAAATGTAATATCACAATACTTTAGGAAGTATTTTTATGATACATGATCTGATAAGTCAGAACAAAGTAGATCCATATTTTAAAAATACCCTCAAAAATTATGAAGCCAATAATTCGGATTCAACGTTTTACACACTGTGCTGCACTAGATCCAAATAAACAGGACCAATTATGCTCTTTTTAATCAAACATGTAGTTGAGAAGTGTTTATATCCACAATGAGCTCAGAAAAGCATATTCTGACATACTGTGATGCACATTATCACGATATTGATGTATATCGTCATATTTCCCGGCTCTACATACACATTAAGCTAACAGCACGTCCACAATATGGCTGCGGGGACGCTTCTTCTGAGCTTTGCGAATACTATCCACAGCTAATTTAGCTGATGTTGCTAATCTAGATGATGTTTAAGTAAGTTACAGATCATATTCCTTTAAAACTTATTATAACAAACAGCTGGTTAGCTATTATGCTAGCTAGTTAGCATGTCTGCCACACAAACTACACAGTAGTTTTGCTTCTTTCCTTTAAACACTACATTTACAGCACGTAGCGCCTCAGTTCTCTCCTTCAGACCTTACATTTTTCTGTACTGAAGGCTGAGAGACTCAAGTCGGACTCGTACCAACATGTCTGCTAACTGCTTTGTGTGGCTTAAAGGGGAATTCCACCAATTTTTCCAAATGTCCATATAATTCATTTGATAAGATGTTAGCAAAGCTCTTCAGAGTGGTTTGGTGTGAAATGCTCTGTTGTAGAGAAACTTAGAGTCAGTATTGTTCACAGTGGTGGTGATAGGAACCAGACGTCCACCTCTAAAATCTCCCTCACAGAAACTTATTATATAAAAACGCTAATGAATATGTTGCCTGGTGCCTGAGACACTGTTTTAGGATAGTTTTGAGATAAAATTTTGGCCTGAAACGTATATTTTGAAGCACATTCATGGTGAGGTGAGCATGTAGGGCATTGTGAGGCAAACAAATCGATAAGAAACTTTTTTTTTTTTAGATTTTCCATTATTTTACCATCATCAACTTTCCATATAAACTCAGAAGACTCGTGTAGGTTCACTGGTGGTTTTGGATAGTAAATAAAATGTCTATATTTGTGTTGTAGTCATGGTGACCCCTGGTTCCTATCACCACCACTGTAAGACATCAAACCACTCTGAATGACTCTGTTGACACCTTAACAATTTAATTTTACAGAAATGTAAAAAACGTTGGTGGAATTCCCCTTTATGCTTTAGATTTTTGCGTTGATCTGCTGTTGCTTGCTGTGCAGTCCTTAGCTTCGCAGCTAACAAGTTAGCCGAGAAATGAAGGGATTCACCAATATAAGAATTGTGGGCCGATGCCTGTTTCCAGTATTTATACATAAACATCTATAAAATGTGTATATCTGGACTAAATCCACTGGATTAGCTTTACAGAGCAAAATAAATACAGCATCAAATATCAGTTTGAAATATCAGCCGAATCTAAACTCCTGTCCAAAGCCAATGTAAGTAATTCTCTGTCGATATCGATATGATTCTGATATAATTGTGCACCTCTAAAGTAAAGTAACTTCAGCCAGCATGTCTAACAGATGGAGTCGTTTTCTACATGAAGCCCAATTTGACTACAGCAAAGCAAACATTAAGCATTTTAACCCCTTAAAATTCCAGGCTTATTACATACTAACACAGTAGCTACAGGGACATTGATGCAAACTGCCTAAGCTACACTCTTAAAAAATGATGGTTCTTCAAGGGTTCTTTAGCAAAGCAAAGAAAATGGTTCTATATAGAACTATCAACACTCAAAGAACCATTTGCGTGATTAAATGTGTCTCATGGTGAAATGGCTCTTCAGACTGATGGAGAATGTGCTGTATGTGGTTCCATAAAGGCACCAAAAAGGGTTCTTCTTTTGTGACAAGCTTGATATTCTAATAATAGCAGAACCCTTTGTGGTGCTGTATAGAGCCCTTATCAAAAACCATCTACAGCACATTCTCCATCAGTCTGAAGAGCCATTTCACCATGCAGAGACCCATTTAATCACGCAAATGGTTCACTGAGTGTTCATAGTTCATAGTAGCACCATTTTCTTTGCTAAAGAACCCTTGAAGATCGAACTGTTTTAAGTGTGAATTCTTAGGTTATAGGAGTGTGTAATAAAACCCTAGGCCTGCCGGTGGGCCCTGGCCATTTAAGGGGTTAAAGTACTTTTACAGCTTTGTCTTTTATTTACCGAGGCTTGAAAGGGAAACTGCATCATTGCATTTACTTAGGAGCAAGAATTAAAATTCATGTTTAATTCCACTAAACAGCCAATTAGGTAAAGAAACACTAACAGGTGAGTCTGGATATATTAGGATAACTTCGCTGAATGCACCAGAAACAGAGTGAGCGCCGTATCAGGCAGTGATCAATACCCATTAGGCTTATTGAGGCTATTGACCCTCAGAGAACGTAAACGCGAGCACTTCTGAGGGATCTGTGCACTTCAGCAGCCTCGGCTAAAGCAGTCCAGCAATGATCAAATAGCATTTCGTTGCTGTCGGAAGAAAAACCTCGTATCTCCATTTTTGTCGTTTTTCAGTTTTTGGCGTAATTTGAAAATGCATGTTGATCTTTACATTGTGTGTCAATTTAAT